GAAGGTCTCAGTGAGGCCGGATGAGCAATGGAAGAACAAACTTAGGCGGGATGCCGGTCCCAATGAGGACTAACATGACACATGACTTCGGGAGTGGGAACAAAACCACAGGGCATACATAGGTGGTGAGGATAAAGGAGTAAGAATAACCAAGAAGAGGGAGAAAAGCCCCAAGTTATCTTTTTGTTGTTGTTCTTAGTGGTTTTAGGTGGTTTTTGTTTTGTTTTGCTTTTGTGTTTTTGGTGGGGGTGATGGATTGGGAATGAGGACTTCTTTCTAATCTAAACAAAGCGTTTAGCATCAAGCTAATGCAGAGTCCTCTGTATAGAGAATGACGTTGGCCATCTTAGGGGGAGGGAGTTACATCAGGGCTGGGACTTGGAGGTTTAAGGGGCGAGTGCTCCTTGTACCTGACACCCGCTGCAGGAGACTGAGCCAGTTAGAGGCACCAGGGCATTCTGATTCCCATGATCCAGCATGTGGGAGAAAAATGTCAAGAGTGACAGGGTAATCTTTGGTATCAGCTCTGATCGCTAACAATCCAGCGACCCCCTGGTCCGGAAGGAATGGTGTCCTCAGGGTTATTCACAGGAGCTGGGGGCGGATGGGCAAGACTGCTTCCATCCTGGTGCGACTTTGAAAGCCATGAAGCGTGGGCAGAGCCTCCTGGGATGCTGTATACTTATAGTCTGGTGACGTAGAACCACTCCCCCCAAAGCCGCAGCTCCCTGCGGCCAGCCTTCAGGGAGCAATGTGTCAGTAGCGGGAAAGCACTAATTACCCAAGGCTCCCTGATCTGGGGACAGAGAAGAGCATTTAGGGACATCCATCTCCCTCCCTCTCACCACACAGTTTAAATCACGTTTTCCTCTTCCTGGGTATCTTGAAGCTTGGTGTGAGTATCTAGGAGTGCTTTTAGAAATCCTCTGATGAAGGTACGACAGAAGTGCAAGGTCTTACTATCAACACTGTAAAGTATCTTTTTTTTTTTTTAAATTATTTATTTATTTATTTGACAGATCACAAGTAGGCAGAGAGGCAGGCAGAGAGAGAGAGAGAGAGGGAAGCAGGCTCCCCGCTGAGCAGAGAGCCTGATGCGGGGCTCGATCCCAGGACCCTGGGATCATGACCTGAGCCGAAGGCAGAGGCTTAACCCACTGAGCCACCCAGGCGCCCCAATACTGTAAAGTATCTTAACATGGCAGAAGTGTTATGTGTAGACAGAACATAGATGCACATTTCAACTTCTAATATTCCTCAGAGAACTATTTGAGGGTTAAGAATGGTAAGTGCAAAAAAAAAATGGTAAGTGCAAAGGTGAGAAGAGAAGACAGTCGTGGGGAAAAAACAGAGAAGGAGTTCAGCTCACAGAAGAGAACCCCTACTCGACTGCACCCCATGGGAGTCGTTAACACCCACTCACATGGACCCTGAAGCCAAACAAGGAAGGTCCCCCCTCACAGTGCCATCTACACCCATGTGACAACTGGAAGATGGAACAAGTCCAGCCCATCCTTTGTGCAAGAAGCAAGCTGCTTCTGGGAATGCTGCTGTCCCATCAGCATGCAGGCTCTAGGACATGCTAGCCTAGCAACCCACGTCGCAGAGGGAGGGAACTATAGAGCCTACCCCAGACGTTGCGGCAATCTGCCTGTGGTTGACAAGAGCCTGGGCGACTCTGGAGCAGGCTGAAGATGAGGGGTGGAATGACGAGGGGCGACAGAGCAATGCATGTCCAGGTGGGGTTGCTCACCACCCCAGCACCTGGGAATTTTGCTGGCAAGGGTAAGCAGCTGAGCTGAATTTAGAGTGGTTCCTTAATTGCTCTAACTGCAGTTAAAAATTAATAACTATCAGTTGTGAATAAATGATGTTCCAGGCACAGTGCTAAAAGCAACCTATACATTTTCTCATTTAATATCCCAAATAACCCTGTGATGTAGTGTTGATACCCCCCATTTACAGATGATCCTCAGAGTGTAAGTGACTTTACTCAGGACACTCCAGTGAGTGGCAAGGCGAGGGTCTAAATGCCAGAATTTTAACTCCTAAGGCTGTTTTCACTACAATGTTTTGTGGCCTCACCAATTATTAAAAAGCAACCATCAGGGCTCTCAACTTTTGTTTTCTTCATTATTCTAGATGTGAACACAATGCATCCAGGATGCTATTGGCAGAGCTAAGGGAGCAAACTGCTTTCTTCTAATCATACAGCTCAGGTTTTGACCCATGCTTGCAAATGGAGGTTACCCAAAAGAAAAGCTACTTATACGCCCGTCGTGGACAGGTGTACCGAGCTCTGTCTTCTCCGCCTGAGCCATCCAACTCAGGCATCCGTATTTGGTGCCTCTTTTGGACTTACTCACTGTCTCTGGGCTTACTCCACTTTCCAGTCTGTGCTCCAGACTGTGGACAGAAACAACTTTGAAAAACGTTGTTTGAAAACCTCCAGGGCTCCCAACTGCCTCCAGAATCAAGTGCTTTCCCTGCTGGGCAGCCACTTCCCCAAGCCCCTCTCTGCTGCACCCGTGACCCAGCCCAAGCTGGATGGCTCTGTGCCCTGAACGCCGTGTGCACTTTCACGCCTTACTGTTATTATTAGCCCTTGCCAGTCCCTCTCCCTGTGGCGGCCTTATCTTACCTTCTTTCTCTGCTGGCAAATGGCTGTACTCCAAAGCCCAGGTCAGATGTCACCGCCTCTCCTTCAGCCTCCCGGCCCCTTTAAAGTAGACGTGATTATGCCACTCACCTGACCCCCGCCATGGCACCCAGTGCACAGGTATATCATACTATCAGTTAGAGGACATTTTTCTACATAGCTGGATCCCATTTTCCATTAATTAGGGTGGGAGCAAAAACCATTTCTTGCCATTTTGGTTTCCAGAGGCCCTGGTCTACCGCAAATGGTCTTTAGAAGGAACAGATGCAGTCACATGTAATCAGGAACCCTGCTCTCACAGCACCACAGCTGGCGATGCTCTCAAAGGATTCCACCAATATGTGGGTAATTGGGCTGGCGGGCTTGAAATTCCTCCTATGCACGCTATTACCTATGACCAAGAGAGTCAAGTAACAAGGAAATGAGAGCTCGATCTTGTTCCATGAAAGAGATGAAAGGGAGAAAATAGCAACCCCAAATTTCCACCAGGATACCTTTGCTTTTCCCTCTGTAGACAGTTTTGCTTGGATCCAGGCAAAGCCTCTGTTGCTAAAAATAGATTTTTAAAAGCTGTGTTTGAGATGGCCTTGTCCTTTATGACCCCATGCCTAACTGGTTTTCTAGGCTCTAGTTTTTTCCTCCTCTGTCCACATTCATATTGCTGCCCGACGAAATTTTTAAAAATATTATTTGAATTATGAAAAGTTTCTATGTAATAGGTTATGAAACATAATTGCATGAATATAACCAACCAACTGGTCAGGCCTGGAACATTTCCAGTACCCTGCATCTAGCTCTATAGGCCTCACCTGTCTCAACCACTGGCCTGATTAATGCCCGAAGCTTATCCCGGTCTTTAAATTTATGATTCCAAAACCCATGCCTGATGTTCTTAGCCTGTTTATTTTGTTGTTAGATAGTATTCCATTGTGTGCCATACCAGAGTTATTTATCCCTTCTCCTGCCGACCAACCGGGATTGTTTCCAGTGTTATGGGTAACGTGGCTATGAACATTCTCGGTGCACAAGAGCGTTTGTGCATTTCTAGAAGTTAGGTCATAGAGTATGCAAATGTTTAACCTTGTGAAATAATGTCAAAGTTTCTTAAAAGGGCTCTACTAGCCAAATTTTCTACAAATCACTGTGTTCCCTGCTAAGAAACAATTCAATGTAACTGCTACTTGCAAGGTAAAAATCCAAAAGGGGTCTTCCTTGCCAGTTAGTTTGGCCCCAAACTAAATTCCACACATCTTCTCTTATAGGCCTCAAGTACCCTCTATTTCAGTTGGGCACATCTGTTTTTGGATGTGGAACCCACCTTACTCTTTTTTTTTTTTTTTAATTTATTTACAACAGAGATAGAGCACAAAAGCATGGGGAGCGGCATAGGGAGAGGGAGAAGCAGGCTCCCCGCTGAGGAGGGAGATTAATACAGAGCTCGATTCCACGACCCTGAGCTCGTAATCTGAGCCAAAGGCAGTCACTTAACCAGCTGAGCCACCCAGGCACCCCATTCATTTTCTCTTTCCTTCCCTTTTCTCTTTCTTTCTTCTTTAGAGCAGGAGAGAGGGGGCAGAGGTAAAAGGAGAGGGAGAATGAACTTTTTAATTTTTAATTTTTTAAAGATTTTATTTATCTGACACACATACACACAGGGGAGGAACAGCAAAGGGAGAGTGAGAAGCAGGGTCCCCACCAAGCAGGGAGCCAGATGTAGAGCTCAATCCCAGGATCCTGGGATCAGGAACTGAACTGAAGGTGTACTTTAACTGACTGAGCCACCCAGCTGCCCTGAGAATTTTTTTTTTTTTTTTTTTTTTAAGATCTTATTTAGTTAGAGAGAGGGCGCATGCACGAGTTGGGGGAGGGGCAGAGGAGGCGGGGAGAACAGACTCCGCTGAGTGCGAGCCAGATGCAGAGCCGGATCTCGCGACGCTGAGATCATGACTTGAGCTGAAATCAAGAGTCAGACACCAAACCAACTGAGCCACCCAGGCGCCCAGGAGAATGTTAAGCAGGCTCCACGCCCAGCGTGGAGCCAGATGTGAGGCTTGAACTCACAATCCTGAGATGACAACTTCAGCAGAAATCAGGAGTCCAACACGCGTATCTGACTGAGCCACCCAGGTGCCCCAGGAAAATTACGTTCAACTCAATCATGTTTTCAGATTTGCTTCTGTCTCTGAAATATGCCTATTTTCATCATGATTTTAAATGGGAAATAATTTAAACCACCTTTCTTCCTCCAGTCCTCCTCTTTTGATCAAAGTGCTACTTGCCTTCCTAAAGGACATTACAGTGTATAATATTTGAGGCAGAAACAAACTATATTAGCTTCCAATAAAGTATAATTCGGTTTATTAGTATGAAATATTTTGAGATGATTTATTGTAGTGGTGACCCAAGTACATGATTCTCAAAGATAAAAAGGTGTTTTAGCTTAATAATAATCATTTAGTAAAACTGCTGCTTATTAGACTCCGAGAAAAGCAGGAAGGCACTTTCTCTTTTTGGCATAGATACTATACTGAAGATACTGCTTAACGGGGCATTTCTTTGACGGAGTTTATTTTGCTTTTCTTTGGTCAGATGCCTCTTCCTCAAACTCGATTAAAGGAGAGTGTCTGTTGGCCTGAGAACCTTCTTTGTAGAACACGGTCTTGATCGTGCCATCCTTTGGAGCCTTTATGGTGTGCTGCAGGGACACAAAACAGGACAGTGACTGCAATACCAACGAAGACTGAGCACGCAGCAAGGCAAGAGAGATGGAAAGTAAAAAAGCCGGTTGTTTTGAAGTTTTTCCAGCTTTTAGATACCAGAGCACCCAGAGAAAGTAACATTTAAAAAAAATTGTTTTTCATTTTTTCAATAAACATTATTATTAGCCCCAGGGGTACAGGTCTGTGAATCGCCAGGTTTACACACTTCACAGCTCTCACCATAGCACATACCCTCCACAATATCCATAACCCCAGAGAAAGTAACATTTTTATGGTGTGCTTTGGGGCTGTCAGGAGTCACTATTCTGACGCACCTGTATCGCACTCAAGGTCACTGACTGGGACACTCTGGCCTACCTGGTATTTTGCCACAAGCTTCACCGCAGAGTCTCACTTGAGAAGCTGTTGAATAAAACTATCAATCCCTGGGCCCCAGCACAGGAGATCCCAATTCAGCCATTCTGGGGAAGTAGTTTGGAAAAGCTCTCCCCATCAGGTGACTGTAATATATGGCCAGGCTGAGAACTACCGGCCTACAATTTCCAACCATCTACAAACCTCAGGAGCTCATCTAGTTTGACTGAGGTTTTCACCCTGATACTGATGCTTGGCATCCCAAGTTTGGTCTTAGAAAATACCAACAGCTTAACAATCAGCTGGGGTACTGCCTGAATTTAAGCTACTGATAATTTCTTTAATTTCAGTATCAGAACTGACAAATGCTGTTTCACAAAATTAAAATGAAAACCTATTTAAAAGAAGTGTGGTTTGGTTTTATGTCCTGCAGTTAATGGTTCATCAACCCATGGCTCTTACTATTTAAAATGGTATTAACTTATAAAATAAAGCAAAAAGCCAATTAGGTCTGAAAGTTCCCGAAGTTTAACTGGCAAGTGAGCTTGTGATTTCATTACCTCCATTTTCATGGCAATCATAACCATTAGAGAATCTCCAGCTTTTACTTTGTCTCCAACTTTCACAAATATCTAGAAATTAAGAGTGACAGGTTAATACTGAAAAAGACAGAGGTCCCTCATGGTCTACAGAGTTGGTGTAAGGATGCATACAGTGGAAGTACGGATCTATGTGGTTGTCTCATCTGCCAAAGACGGGTGCTGGGGCCAATCAGAGACCTACTCGTCAATCTGGCATTGCTGGCCCTCATGCCTTTGGGGAGCACTGTTTAGCTCCTCACCTCCATCCTCAAACCCTCTAGTTTTCCTGGAATTGGATGAATATGCTTTATATATCTTGAGATCCTTTTCTGTTTTCACATATGTACAGACAAGCCATACGACCAAGGAAGAACCAATATACTTCAATATTATAGGCATTGGAGGGTCATGCCTGGTTTTCCTGATTTTATAGTGCTCCTAGCTTTGAGGCCCCTGTGTAGTAAATGCATAGACTATCTTCATGTGAAAGAATTAAACTTATTGGCAACCATGGAAAAAAATCTCTATTTTCCTTTTTACATGTATAAATGAACTCATATATCCCATGTCTCACTGTCTTCTTGGTTAACATGGTGATGAAGCAGTTTCTGGAAACATCACACAGTGGAGTTAGGTTCTAGAGTCAATGTATAGAGCCCAAAGTGTGAAAAATGAGAAACACCTCTGAAAGCCCTCAAATCACCCAACGCTAGATGATGCCGTAATAGTGCTTGGTGGAATCCATAGTCTAGGGGGCAGTTATGGGGAAAATCTTTTCCCCACAGGTGTGCAAAGATGCCACATTATGGAATGTCCATGGGAATGGAGACTGAGTGATCCAAGTCTCTGAGCTTATACTCCCTTTGGGGCAAACATCTGTAGAGGGGAGTGGTGGGTGCAATCATTTTCACTACTTAAATGGTTATTTTCTTTTTCTTCTTTTTGGGTACCAAGAATACAGAGTTGAGTTTTTATGACTTAGATGCATTTACAGGGACTCTACTATATTCAAGTGTGTAACAAGAAGACTACTGATCCACCACTATTTGAAGTTATTTCAGTATGAATCTTAACTCTGACACATACAGCATTCAACACCAAAGCTCATTGTTCTTCACCAGTACCAGCCTTTCAAATTTTATTTTAACATACATGCAGTTAGGTACATTAGAAAAAATGTTATTTTAAATTGTTTGCTGTTAACATTAAAAAACAGCCCTTTGGCTAATGCTTGATGAATGATCCATTTTAATCATAAAAAGACAAATTTAGATTATTTGTACTTTGATGGAAATTGCCACTTTCAAAGATAATAGTATCATAAATTAGGTAAATGGATATTTTCACTGAAGACTGAACAGAGAACTTGAATCTATCATAGCCTCTTGTTTTCTCTTTTTTAAAGATTTTATTTTTAACTCATTTCTGCACAAAACATGGTGCTTGAATTTACAACTCCGAGACACATACTTTTATCTACTGAGGGAGCCAGGTGCCCCCATCTCTTGTTTTCCGGAGTAGGATGTTTTCCAATCGGAAAGATTTGGAGAGGGAAAAATGATGTATATGCCATTTACCGGGCCTTACTGAACATCCGTCTACATACGTTCATGTGATTACCTTTTCAATGGTACCCGTCATAGGAGCTATGGCTCCTTCCTGAGTTCCATCTGAGCTCATTGAAGACAAGTATTTGGGGACTGGAATGCCAATCTGAGTACTTCCTTCCTATAAATAGAAAACAAACTAGAAATGAAATCAAGATCAAACCACTGCAGTTTTATTAATATACCTAAGATAATGACTATTTTCAAGCTATTTGTTAACTATTAGTCATCTTTAACACAAGGGTTCTAATCTAGCTTGGTGACCTTAAGCAAATTATTAACCCCCTCTCAGTCTTGGTTTCCCATCATATAAAGGAGTGATGGCATCATGCCTCACAGGGAATTAAAGGATTTAATGTATTTAACTGTTGACAAAAAGATAGCCACTGTCTGAAAGCCATTTTGGGCAGCATCCCCACTTCAAGTGCTTGGTCAAAGCCAGGAAATGTTCTTAACTGCCATATATATATATATATATATTCATTGATCGTCATAGGAAGCTTATGAGGTAGGTAGATACTGTTATTTTTCCTGTTTAGAGAAGGGGGAACTGAAGCCAGAGAGTTTAACTAGCCCTAGCTCACACACCTGTTCCAAGGTAAAGCCAGGATTTGAACCAAAGCAGCTTCACATTCCAGAACTCCTACTCGTCACCACTCTACCATACTGCCTCCACCACCATATTGTTATAGCAGAGTAACTATGGAAAGGAATGCCTGATCATGTGAGATCATCCTTGACTCTCTATACGGTAAGTAGTTTAACTACTGGAATACTAAAGGCGTCTGATCACAAAGGAGTATGATCTATAAGCGGGTTCTCAAATGTGAGAAGACTCTGAAGAGGCCACAGTGTATTTGATAATACATTTTCTTTTCTGCCCATGTAGAAACTATGGGCTCATCAGGCAGCAGGCTCCTAAATGGGACCAATAAGACAGGAGACATGCTCTGATCCAAACCTATGCCACGTCTGCCTCAATCACCAACCATCCTTTGATTGCCAAGACATCACCATTAACCCCCACTACTTCCCTAATGCCCACCTTCCCCACAAGGAATATTAGTTCCACAGACTCTTTCCTCAATGGTCACCTCCTCCCAAATGCCCAGAATTCCAAGTGCCAGGAGGATGGTGGTTGCAAAAGTATTCAGGCACCAAATGCCTGACAAAATACTGCACACTGGGCAGTGAGACACTCTCTGACAAGTAGGGTGTCAGGACTTGTTTTAGAATTAAAGGCAGAGAATGGATATATGTCTATCAGTGAGGAGCTGTGTGAATAAAAGAACCAGGGAGAGCAGGAATGTGGCAAAGAAACAGGGTGGAGAGGGTGACACAGAGGGAAGGTCATAGCAGTGATGGAAGGAAGCAGGGTCTTCCTAATGTTTCAGTGGGGTGCCTCTGGTCAAGCAATGTTCTCTCAGACCTCAACAGTGTTATTATAAAAAAAGAGACGTTACCATGGAAAATAGGTAAATAGTATTTTCCAGGATAATTAGCTTAGTTTTACTAGCAACTCCATTAACAGAACATTTCAGGTAAGTGCAGTCTCCCTCAGTACAAAGATCACCAAGGACTTGGAAAGTTTCATCTTCAATCTGAAAAAAAAAAAAAAAAAAAGAAAAAGAAAAGAGAAAAATAAGATCCTTAAAATAAATAAACCACCCTATAGAATTAATAAAATCAGAGTCAATTCTTTACTATTAATAGTTTCAAAAGGTAACAGGTGAAATATATTTTTTTTTAAAAAAGCCATGTAGGAACTTAAGACTCATAAACAAAGTACTCTGAATAGAAACAACATATGATAATTAAAAGAAAAAAAAAACAGATAACTTATCTATAGCACTGTTAATGCTACAGATAAATGTTCAGAATAACAATAAAAACATGAAATAGAAATACAAATCAAATTAAGCAAGATTATTAAAATTCAGTTGACTATATTACACGTTAGAATTCATATCTGAGTACCTGAAGTCAAATTTGGCTTTACTATGCCAATGTTAGTAAAGAAAAAAGCCAGAACCACCTAATTAGATGGTACGTCTTTTCTCTCTCCAATATGTAGCTAAAATTTATGGGTTTCAGTTTTGAGTTTAAGAAGATAAATTAGCTGGAGACTAGCCACAGTTTTCTCACTGTAAGAGAAAATGCCAAAGAACAGATTTCACACTTGATCTTTCAGGGAAGCTGACAAAGGGACACGAAACCTTTCTGTTTTAAAAAATGTTTTCTCACATACACACCCAAGAAAAAAAAATTCCTTTACACACAGGAAATCCATTTAAATCTTCTCTATGTTTCATTTCAATTCCCACGGGGTTACTGTCAAAGTCCCATGGCTATTCTTTTCAAATATATTATAGAAGCTGAGGTGAACCAGGTTACACCGTAGTATTTATACGCCGGTTCTCATCTATCCTAAGTTAAATATGACATTTACTGGGTTTTGTAACCTACTAAAACAGCCATTTGAATGTTTGTGAAATTCTCAGGACATAAAGGTTAGATCGGGAACAGTTTTGGTTAAAGGTTTACACAAGCTCATTCTAAAATTGTGAATATAGTTCAAAGAGCAGATTAGAACAAATCTGTAGTTGACTTTACCAAGGGAATAAGAAGGGGTCCCCAAACCCGAGGGACCAATATGAATTACAACCCTCATAGACTTCCCAGTTTTTCTGAATCTCAGTGAAACAAAAATGGTATCTCATGGCACTTGGCAGATCTGCAGCATATCCTTAATCAATCATTTTTGTAGGACTTAAAGTCTCTTGGCTCATATTAAAAGTGATTTATTCTGCTCTATGAATTTGTACCTTACTATATAGGAATTTGGTTGCGTTCTCAGATTACTGTTGTTATTTTTTTAAATCCCTTGCAGCATTTTATTTTGTCAGTGTAAGGACTTCTTTTAATTGAGGACTACCATGAACACTTTTTGATAGGGATTCTCAAAGTATGATCTGCAGATCCCCTGGGGTCTGCAAACCACTTCATAATAACACTAACGTTTCTGGCCTTTTTTAACCCTCGTTCTCTCATGAATATACACTGGGATTTTCTAGAGACTGCAGAGCATGTGATGTTACCCTGACAGCTAATGGAACATGTGCTTGTGTAATCTTAGGTTTTAAATTTTCTCAATTTATCCTACAACTCAACAACAACAACAACAAAACCCAACCTGAGTTAAAAAAGAGGCAAAGGACTTGAATAGACATTTCTTCAAAGAAGATACACAAATGGCCAATTAGCATATGAAAAGATGCTCAACATCATTATTCATTATGGAAATGCAAATCAAAACCACAGTGAGATAACACTTCATACCCATTAGGATGGCTATTATGAAGAAGAAAAAAAGAAACAGAAAATCAATGTTGGCGAGGATGCAGAGAAAAGGGAACCCTGTGCACTGTTGGTAGGAACATGAAATGGTGCAGTCACTGTGGAAAACAGTTCTTCAAAAAATTAAAAATAGAACATGACCATATGATCTAGCAATTCTATTTATGAGTATATGCCCAAAAGGATTGAGAACAGGGTCTCAAAGAGGTATTCGTCCCCCACGTACGTAGCACCATTATCCACAATAGGCAAAAGGCAGAAGCAACCCAAGTCTCCATCAAGAGATGAATGAATAAACAAAAGTGTGGTATAGAGAGGCAATGCAGTATCACTCGACAGATGAACACCGAACATATGCTACAACACAGAAGAACCTTGAAGACATGCTAAGTGAAACAGCCAGTCGCAGAAGGACAAATACTGAATGATTTCATTTATATGAGGTACTTAAAGTAGTCAAATTCATAGACCCAGAAAAGTAGGATGGTGGCTAACAGAGGCTGGAAGGAGAGGGAGGTGGAAAAGGGCAAGTGGAGTGTTACTGTTTAATGGGTACAAATTGTCAGTTTTGCAAGAGAAAAGAGGAGATGGGTGGTGGTGATGCTTGTAAAACAATGTCTAATATGATAAATTTAATATATAATTTTTAAAATATACATTAAAAAGAATAGTAAGAAATAAAAGTATGCTTGATTTAACTTTCTAAATGGTAAATATTAATACATGTAATTAACACAAAAGCTCCTTGGGGAGTCTTAATAATTTTGAAGGGTGTACACGGATTTTGAGACCAAAAAGTTTGAGAATGGCTGCTTTAGATGTAAATACATGCACATACTTTAGAGACTTGTCAGGAGTCTGATTCAAAGCTATTATTACTATTTTTTTTTTTTTTTTACAAGTTTTCATTCTTAAGGGAACCACAGCCAAATTGAGGAGACAATCAGAACCGGAGAGGGGGTAATTTCATCAAATTGGTCTGAAATAAAAGCACATGGCACCCTCCAACTATAGTCATACTGGTCACTGGCTTAGGAGAAACCAGAGTGTAAAAAATACAAAAACAAAAAACAAAACCCTTCTCTGTATGGAAGAGATCAGATTTAGCTCTAAACTGTAGAACAAAACCAGTAAGACTTACCCGCATGCTATACGACCCATCATGGTTATATGTTACAGCTATGGCTACATCTTTATGGAAAAAGGGGGAAAATTGAAGAAAAATTAGAAGACAATCATTTATTCAGTAACTGACATTCTACAAATCTCTTTCAGCCTTAAAGATAACCATCAGTTAGGGATGTTAACACCTTTTAACTCTCGGAAAATAAAGATTAAAGAAAAAAAGTCTATAGGCAGGTTCCAATAAAGGTGAATTTCAAAGGTTTCTTTAAAAACAAACAACCAACAAAACATGGAGTTTTAGAGGTCTCTTAACTATAGAAAATAAACTGGTGGTTACCAGAGGGGAGGCTGGTGGTGCGGGGGTGGGGGGAAGGGGGGAAATCACCCAAAACAGGTGATTGGAATTAAGAGTGCTCTTATCATGATGAGCACTGAGTAATGTATAGAATTGCTGAATCACTCTACTGTATACCTGAAACTAATACAACACTGTATGTTAACTACACTGAAATTCAAATTTTTTAAAAAGTGGGAGTTTTAGCTCTTCTAATGTTGTAGGATATTTTAGATGATTTTCCTTCAACAAGAAAAGTTGCAGTGTTAAAGTAGGAAATGCAATGGATTGGAAGAGAGTAATTCTGGTTTAAGACCCAAAGCTGCCATCTGTGGCATGATCACCTCTGTGATCTTGACTAAATCATTTCAAATCTCAGAGTCCTGATTTCCTGGTCCATTCTGACCCATTAAATGGTTATGAGAATGTAACAATAATTTACTAAATGTGAAAGTGCTTTGCAAACTGTAACAGAGGATACAAATACAATATGTATTTCATAGTATTATGTGAACACAGAATTGGTTAAGGACTTTCCTAGGCGATGGATGTGGGGGTGGGTGGTTGGAGAAGACCTTTCTAGGAGATGGAAATCAAAAGTTTTGCGGCCGAGAAAATGCAGACCAAAGTCATTTCATCCACTCCTGATACTTTAACCACCATTTTGATGCTGCCAGCTCAAATCTATTTCCAGCCCTGACCTTCCTTCTCCAGAACTCTGATTAGTCATTCCCAGCTGGATGCTCTATTGCACCTTAAAGTGAATATGTAGGGCCCAATAAATCATCTCCCCGCTCTTCCCGCCTTCCCTCTCACCCTGTGAGCTCCATGACCGGCGCTACTACTTTCCTTGTCATCCAGGTTGAAAACCTGTCATTCTTACTTTCTCCTTTCCTTTCCACATTTGATAGTCGCTACAAAGCTGCCAAATTCTTTCCTATCTGTCCTACTCATGTCTTCCTCTCATTCCCCACTCAAACCGGATTCAGGGGGAAGGCAGGCCTTGGTAACACTGAAGTCTTCTTGGGACTTCCTGCTTCCTGTCTCAGCCCTCCCAGCTGATGCTTCCTAATGTGTCTCCACTATAATCAGAATACTTGGGCTGGTATTGAAGGCCCTGACCTCTCAGTCTTACTTCCCACCCTTCTTCCATAGGGTCCTATATTACAACCAAATGGGAAAATGGGCTAATTAATGTTCTCCATTATGTGCCTCCAGTCTTGCCCCTGCTGTGCCCCTTTGCTCATGCTCCCCTTCAACACGCTGTCAGTCCCCAGCCATACCAAACTGAAACCTCGCCCCTCGGTCATGTCATGCTCAGTCATGGTCCCTGGGAAAGTCTGTCTAGCTGGAATGAATTTACTCTCCTCCGAACACTTCATTAAATATTTGCATATAAAACACCATTATGATTCTTCCCTCATCCAGTTTTATGACAGAATGATTTTTCTCTTTATCAGCTGTTTTTTAAAAAAGTACAAAAATAAAACTTCACAAAAGTCAAATACTGAAGCATATAAAGTAAAAATGGAAAGTCCTCTCTATTGCCTACTGTAACTACTGTTAAACTCTCTAATGCGAGTCCTTTCAGAATGCACAAACTTATATTTTTCTTTTATAAAAATAGTATATTCTTAAACATATTGTTCTGAAACCAACTTAAAACTTTTTATTTATTTTTCCAACTTTTTTTTTATTAACATGTGACATATATATCTACTTTGTCTTTCAATAGTAGCAAGGGGATAGTTTCACCATGATGATGATGAGGAGGAGAACAGCTAATGTCTACTGACTGCTTCCTATATGCTGCACGACGAGCTTTCTATTGTCTCATTTAATATCCACAACAACCCAAGGAAGTAACTATTACTATCATTCCTATTTATGGTTGAGGACCTTGACCTTGACGCTTAGAGAGAGTGTGTGTCTTGCCCAAGGGTTACAGACAACAGAGGAACCAGGATCACACTCATAACAGCCTAACCCCAAGGTCTGCATTATGTTTATTTTATTTTATTTTTTTAAAGATTTAGTTATTTATTTTAGAGACAGAGAGAGAGCACAGTGAAACAGAGAGAGAGGGGAGTCCCAAGCAGACTCCGTGCTGACTGTGAAGTCCAGTGTGGGGCTCAATCCCATGACCCTTAGGGGCCTCAGGGCCTCAGCCCAAACCAAGAGTTGGAGCCTAACCAACACACCCTCCAGGTTTCCCTAGGGTCTGCATTATTAACCACCACACGACCTATCTTTCCAACATACCCATTTCTCCTTTTTTTGCTAGGTGGTGAATTCCTAAAGAGAGAAAAGTAGGGACAAAGACATGTTTTTTCTTCTTTTTCACATTACTCAAAACATCTGTTTTTTTGAAAACTTTGTAATGAACATATGAGTAAATGAAACCTCTCCAACCTAAACCTTGCCTATATCTTTCAACCCTTCTTAAGAGAAAATGCACCAATTAAACATTAGGGTTTTTTTCAATTTATGAAATATGAAATATATTCAGATTACAGGAATGCCAACAGAATCACAATAAACACATTGCCAGGAAAACTAAATTCTTTTAAAAAATTTCTTAAAAATTTGAATTATAGTTGGTATATAATATTAAATTAGTTTCTGGTATATAACATAGTGAATTCAGCAATTATATACATTATGAAATGCTTACCCTGATGTGTATTATATTATTGACTATATTCCCTATGCTGTACTTTTCATTCCTATGACTTACTTGTTGTATAACTAGAAGTTTGTACCTCTTAATCCCCTTCACCATTTCATCCACTGCCTCCCCCTCCTTCTGCAACCATTAGTTTGTTTTGTGTTTGTTTCTTCATTGTTTTTTTGTTCACTTGTTTTGTTTTTTAGAATCCATATATAAGTGAAATTATATGATATTTGTCTTTCTCTGGCTTATTTCACTCATTTCACTGTCTAAGTCCATCTATGTTGTCACAAATGGCAAGATTTCATTCTTTCTTAAGGCTGAGTTGTATTCCATTGTGTATATATGCCACATCTTCTTTATCCATTCATCTATCGATAACCCACAGCTAACATCATACTCAATGATAAAAAGCTGAAAGTTTTCCCACTAAGGTCAGGAAGAAGACAAGGATGTCCACTCTCACCACTTTTATTCAACATAGTACTGGAAGTCCTAGCCAGAGCAATCAGACAAGCAAATAAATAAAAGGCATTCAATTGATAAAGAAGAAGTAATTATCTATTTCCAGATAATATGATACAATACAAAGAAAATCCTAAAGACTCTACCAAAAGAACTATGAGATCTAATAAATGAATTCAATAAAGTTGTAGGATATGTAAACCAACATACAAAAATCTGTTGCATTTCTATTCACTAATAATGAAATAGCAGAAAGGGAAATAAAGAAAACAATCCCATTTACATTTGCACCAAAAAGAATAAATCCTTTCATATGTTATGGGTAACTGAATTTGTTCTTCCCTCCCCTAGTTATTTCTAAATCTCCACAAGAGAATGTTAAATATCCTCTTCTCTATTTTTTAAATTAATTTTCTATAATCAATCTATAATCTATATATATCTATAGAGAATATAGATAAAATCTATATAATCTATAAATAATCATATTCTTTGCCCAATGCGGGGCTTGAACTCATGACCCCGGGATCAAGTTGCCTGCTCAAGCAACTGAACCAGCCAGGCACCCCATCCTCTTACATATTTAATAAGGTATGGAAGTGTAGCATGGTGCAGTGTTAGGTTAGCACATATACCCTGGAGTGTGGGTTTGAATTCTGGCTCCACCAATTACTTCTCAAATGACTTTAAGAAAATTATTAATCTCTCTAAGTTTGTTCCCCATTTATAAAGTTGACACTAACAATAACACCAATTTCATTGGCCTGTTCTGAAAATGGTAATTATTCATGGAAAGCACTTAATATCTGGCATATACAAAACACTCAATAAATCTTAGCTATTATTCTTATTCTTATTATTGAGGGTAGGGCAGGGTTTTGTGAAGCATAGTCACTAGCAACAAAGTAGGAATATTCTTCAAGCCTTAAGTATTTAAAATACTTGATCATTTGCACTGAGATCATTAAGAGTTGGTTCTACTTTAGATTCATAATTGTTTCTTGGCCCTTCTGACTTCCTGTTTGGTGTATGCACTCATTCAATCATGGCTACTGTTCCTTAGCATTTATCAGACACCCATCAGAACATTTCTGAAAGCTGTTACATTCAGGCCTGGGTCACTGCTGAAAAAGACCACCAAAAGGATGTAGTGAACAGCAACCATGCTGGTTTTCAATCATGAATTCATTCTCTAATTAAAAATTTTAAAAATTTCCAAGAAATGCACCATAGTTCAAAACACTGCTAAGTGCCTTGGTGAAGATCCATACCAAATAACACAGCTGGCTCATTTGAATTTTAATCACATATGCGATTTTTCTGTTTAATTTAGGTTGAAGAGGCCACTGAAACATTACTGCTACTGATACCTATATACTCGGTATATAGGAGTCTAGAAGAAGATCATCCCTGATTTCGGAGGCGTTGTTTTTTAGAATGAAATGAATAAACATACCAGCATAAAATGGATAGGTTAACCATTTGTAGACCGCTACTCTATCAGGGATGTTTGCAAACATTTTTTTTTCCATGTATGCAACACACTGAAGGTAATGACCATCTAAGTTCAGGATGAAAAAAGATCTCAAGAGCTGTAACCCAATCAACTTCTGTGAAAAAGGAATTTGCTAAAAACCAAACAGATGTCTACAGAGAGTTGAGATAAAGAAGATCTTACTCTGTCTGGGGAGGAGGGTACTGCCATGAGCGAGCAGGAGGATTCTGTTTCACCTGGTAGGCACGTTTTTTGTAATGGCGCCTTCACAGTTCAATGAAACTTCACATTCAAGGTTATGCAGCCCTCCCAGCTCTGACTCCACACCAATGTCACTTCCCATGCAAACCGTCCTGCTGCAGAAGGGATACTGCTATCAAGGGATTCTGATCCCTCTGATATACTGTTCCAGTCACAAATATATAAAAAATTTAAAATTTTTGATGTCAGACTCTCCTGGCTTAAATTACAATAAATCAGTCCCACCCTCAGCCTACTCAAATTAGCTTTCAGTCAAAAATCAATTTTCCACTGGAAAAATAAAAACAGCATAGGCGTCAAGATCAGAAAGGCTGAGTGTCAATGTCACAAACCTTCAGTAAATTACTTCACCTTCTCTACCTCAGTTTCATCAGCTGTACATGGGAATGGTAGGGATTCCTCCTCATTCAATTATAGTGAAGACATTTTTTTTTTTTTTTAAGATTTTACTTATTTGAGGGAGAGACAGAGAGAAAGAGAGTAAGAGCGGTGGGAAGGGGCAGAGGGAGAGGGAGAAGCAGACTCCCTGCTGAGCAGACAGCCAAACAGACACTGGGCTCGAGTCCAGGATCCTGGGTCATGACCTGAGCTAAAGGTGGACGTTTAGCTGACTGAACCACCCAGGTGCCCCTATTCTGGTGAATATAAAAATTTACATGTGATCGGGCACTTAATAAACCATAGCTCCTTAATAACCCACTTCGACCTAAAACACTGCCTGACTGGTGAGTAATCCTTCTCCCTAGAGTAGTTTTGGATACTGTTCTTCGTATTTAAAAGCAGTACATTCTTGCTGAAGAAAAACTGCAAGACAAAGGAAGTATAAAGAAGTGGCCTGTGCAGGGTTGGGGTGGGACACCAACCACCTCAAATCCCGCTACCCAATGGTCACCTAACATCTTGGAATATTTTATTTTAGTCATTTTGCTACTTATGTTTTATGACATATTTTTCAAATAGTTATAAAATACAGAAAAAGGGAAAAAGAAGAAAGATAATTGTAACAAGAACTCATTAGCCTATTATGCTTTCAGTCAGCTCTTCCTAATTGTACCACCTGAGCCCATCAATCCTGGTAGTCCTACCAATGGTTAGTTAGACTAGGGAGCTTCAAAAATGTAACTGACTGCTCCGTGACTGGGATGGGTCCTTTTATTCCAGGTGAATATGAGCTATTTCTCTGAAACACATTCCTCTTTTAATAAAACATTACTTACTGTTTTTACCATCCCTCAGAGTTATGTTTCTCGTGTAAGAGATATTCAGTCTTCTTCCACTGCTGGATGCAAAAGGTGAGTACTGATCTAGAAGAAAATAAAAATTCAGCAAGAAATTTACAAACAACAGGCCTGACTTTATACTTTACAAAAGAAAATGTAAAACACCAGCCCTACGCTGGTAGCTCAAATGTGTCCTCTTTGTCCTTACTGCTTTAAATTTAAATTAGACACTTTCATTTACATCTCAGGAAATGTCATGTGAAAAATTCCAGCTTCTCTGAAAAATCAGAGTGTGTGCAGCCGAAACGTTCTTCCTCTGGGGGCGTAAGCAGCCCAGAGGTCTCCCCTTCTTGGGTAAATGCATTCCAGGTCACCAAAATCTCCACCACTCACTACTTCTCTCTCGCCTCGCCTCTTTCTGCGTCACTCGTCCCGCCCACAGGCTTGTGTGTTCATCCTCTGTTGGACGATATCCAGGAGTTACAGCACAGCTGAACTGAAGCAATTTCTTCTGAGGCTCAAATGTGTGCTGGTTATAAATTGTAAAGAGGAAGGAGAGTAAGAAGATACTTGATTCTGGGGTGTCTGGGTGGGTAGTTGGTTTAGTGTCTGCCTTTGGTTCAGGTCATGATCCTGGAGACCCGAGATCGAGTCTGGTGTTTGTCTCTCTGCTCAGTGGGGAGCCTATTTCTCCCCCTGCACCTTCTCCCTCTCACGCTTGTTCTCTCTCTCTCTCTCAAATAAATAAATATAATCTAGAAAAAAAAAAAGGATACTCGATTCTAACACTGCTATGTTCAGGCTTAGGAACACCGAGTGGGCATATTTAGAGGCCTTTCATGTAGTGTAAAAGGACAAAATGAGAAGTAGTTATATATTTTAAGATTTCAATATAATTTTCTTGAATGAGTCTAGAAATTAAAGATCCTAATAAGAAAATCCTATAATAATCCTAAAAATAATGAAAGGATAAATGGATTATTATTTTTTTTTCTTATTGGCTCCAAAGGTAGGAGTTAGCCTAAAGTAAATATTCTGAAGCAAGTTGGGAGGGTTCAGATTTTGCTCAATTTTGAGGGAAGAACTTTTAAATGAAGAGCTGACTGAAAGCATAATAGGCTAATGAGTTCTTGTTACAAATTTTAGCTTCCTGAGGTGTTAGGAAGAGGTTGAGCAACAACGCAGTGGGGGTGCTGAAGCAGAGATGTGTGTGTGAAGCAACCGGGAATCTCCGCCACAGTCCTTCCTGTGCTCAGATCCTCTGATTCGAGGAAGTACTGAGGTCTCTGGTTTGCCAGAAACTGGAGCATGGAATAGGAAAGGAAAGGAGGAAATAACACAATGATAAATCTCAGGTAACCCAAGAGAATCTGAGTCTCCAGTGCTCTGTCTTTGGTCCCTAGGACCAAGGAAGTTGCCACAGTACAGAAAATACAAGAACGTAGGACCTCGAAAGGAGCGGCAAATTAAAAAAGCTTTGGAAGGAGTCAGCACAGGGTGTAGGAAGGAACTAGCATTTGGCTGAAAAAAGATCCATCTCAACACTGTTAGGCAAGTAATTAAGTTATATTTAATGGGTTAAAAAGTCTTTAGGGGCATATGCATGATATGTGAACCCATTGTACTTCACATAAAAACCACACTGGCAGAAGATACTGTCCATCACCGAGAAAAGAAAAGGGACACAAGAGTGGCATAAAGGAAGAAAAGCACCTCCAGAAAAGCACCTTATTCACAGACTTAACAAGCAGAGGAAAGGGAAAAGCATTCCATACCTTGTGACTGAATGTTGAAAATATCAGACACAGCTTTCTCCTTGAGGATGAGACCCAGAGCTGCCCGGCATAAAAACTCCTTAGCTGTGGCCTTCCTATCGGGAAACAGTTCTTTGTGGTGTTGAGCGATGAAATCTGTGTGCACGTTCCCAGCCTCAAACTCTGGGTGGCCAGACAGGTTAAGGAGGAAGTCAATGTTGGTGTGCAGTCCGACAATCTAGGAAGAGAATAAAGCCCACATCCCCAGTGAGTGGGGAAAACAACACATTCAGAAAATCGTTTCTATGGCATCTGCTCTTTATATGAAGTATTTTCTACAATGGACAACTCTCAAGGAAAATAGAAAACCTACTAAGGTGCCACATGGTGGCAGTTAGGACAACTTGTAGGAAAAACAAAACAACACAAAAAACCCCACTTCACCATCACTATCTATGTGGACTTAACATTTAAAACTGTATTGTATAATACATTTTAAAATGTAGTAGACTACATTTCACTCTTTATGATAAAGAGGAAATAGGAAATGATGTTAGGGTAGGTAGTGTGGAGACATTTAATTGACTCATGCTAGGAAAGTGATAAATGTTAAGAAACTTAAATGAGATTTATTTGCACGATAATGAAGACATCCCACTCAGAATACTCCCACACAACAGGAAGATTGCAAACTGAGGATAGGATTGCTACACTGAAGCGGGGATAGGATTAAATGACCTCAAAGAAATTTCCGACACTAAAATCCAAACTTCGCACACTGGCATAAAAACAAAAAGGCATAAAATGAACCCATATATGCCCAATAAATGGGATCAAAGGTAAAACCAGCTATCTGAGCCTTGGGTTCATTCATTCATTCATCCAATCATTCATTTAACAGCCATTTACTGAGCACTGTTAGGTGCCAGGCACTGATCCAGGTACTGGGGACACAATGAGGAATGAAACCTCACAGAGCTTATATTCTAGGGACAGATAACATACAATATCTATAAACAAGTATCTAATATGATATCAGGCTATATGAAGAAAAATAAGGCTGGTTAAGGGGACAGAGAAGAGCAAAGGGCCTTATTTTAAATGGGATGACCTGGTTTCAAGCTACACTACAGAGCTGTAGTAATAAAAACATTATGGTACTGGCACTAAAATAGACACAAAGATCAATGGAACAGATCTGACAGCCCAGAAATAAACCCATGCTTATATGGTCAATTAATCTATGACAAAGGAGGCAAGAACATACAATGGGAAAGGACCATCTTTTCAGTAACTGGGGTTGGGAAAACAGGACAGCTACATGCAAAAGAATGAAACTAGACCACGTTCTCACACCATACACAAAAAATAAACTCAAAATGGATTATAGACCTAAATGTGAGACCTAAACAATAAAACTCCTAAAAGAAAACATAGGCAGTGATCTCTCAGCTGTCAGCTTAAGCAAAAATATTTATGGATATGTTTCCTCAGGCAAGGGAAACAAAAGCAAAAATAAGCTACTGGGACTATACCAAACTAAAAAGCTTTGCACAGGGAAAGAAACCATCAACAAAGAGAAGAATGGGAGAAGATAGTTGGAAATGATATATCCTGATAAGGGGCTAATATCCAAAATATATAAAGAACTCCTACAACTCAACACCAAAACACCTAATAATCCAATTGAAAAATGGGCAGAGGACCTGAACAGACATTGTTTTTTCCTCCAAAAAAGATATACAAATGACTAACAGACACATGAAAAGATGCTCACCATCACTCATCATCAGGGAAATGCAAATCAAAACCACAATGAGATACCACCTCATACCACTCGGAATGGACAATATCAAAAAGACAAAAATAACAAGTGTTGGTAAGGACATGGAGAAAAGGGAATCCTTGTGCCCTGTTGGCAGGAAGGTAAATGGGTACAGCTTCTGTGGAAAATAGTATGAAAGTTCTCCCCAAAATTTAAAACAGAAATACCATATGATCCAGTAATTCCGTTGCTGGCTATTTCCCCAAAATGAAATGAAAACACTAATTAGAAAAGATATATGTACCCCTATGTTTACTGTAACATGATTTCCAATAGTTGAGATATGGAAGCAATCTCAGCCCATCCATAGATGAAGGATAAAGATGTGGTGTATACATATAATGGCATATTACTCAGCCATGAGAAAGAATGAAATCTGCCATCTGTTACATGGATGGACCTAGAGAGTATTACACTAAGTGAAATAAGTCAGACAAAGATGAGTATCAGATGATTTCACTTACAGGTACAATCTAAAACACAAAGCAAACACACAACAGAAATAGACTTATAAATAGAGAACTGGTGGTTGCCGGAGGGGAGGGTGATGAGGGGATAAGTTAAGCAGATGAATGGGATCTAGAGGTACAAACTTCCAGTTATAAAATACGTAAGTCACAGGAATAAAAACAGCATATGGAATGTAGTTACTAATACTGTAATCACTTTGGTGACAGATGGTAGCTACACTTATTGTGGTGAGTCCTGTACAGAATTGAATCACTCTGTTGTACACCTAAACTAATATAATATTATATATCAACTATACTTCAATTAAAAAAAAAATGAATGGGCCTGGGTGGCTCAGTCGGTTAAATGATTCTTGGTTTCAGCTCAGGTCATGATCTCAGGGTTGCAGGATTAAGCGCTGCATTGGGGCTCTGAGCTCAATGTGAGTCTGCTGGGGATTTTTTCTCTTCCTTTCCCCCTGCCCTTCCCCCCACTTACGCATGCATGCGCACACCCTCTCTCTCTCAAGAATAAATAAAATCTTCAAAAAAAATGGAGAAGCCTGGGAAGGATTCTGAAGTGAGCAGGAGCTGAGGATGGTGAGGAGGGAGGCCTGTGATTATGTGTGGAAAGAACGTTCTGGAAGACAGAATAGGAACACATGGGTTCCAAGGAATGGCAAGGAGACCTGTGTGGTTGGAGCCACAGAGATGAGAAGTTTGGTCAAATTAATGCCATATAACACTTTGGATGTCACGGGTTAATAAATCCTTTTATGAAGCTACATCAGTGTGGTCTGGGGCTTACTCCACCAAGGAAACTAACTGCTACAAAAAAGCAACAAACTTTGTCAAATGGATAAAAGTGAAAACAATTATTTTCCTTTGGGGAAAATAAAACCAGACTGCAGGCCACACTTGTACAGCTGGCCATATCTAACAGGATGAATATGAATTTAATATCAGATGTCACTGAAGTATAACACTGACATTAACAGTTTTAGTCCTGCAATTTTTCTTTTCTAGCTAAATCAAGAAGTCATTAAACTCTATTCTGACCCATGGGAATGTGAAATCAGTTTGTTCCTGCCACCTGGGTAACTGGTAGAAATAAGCTGACAAGGACAAAGGCTGCCCAATTGTGAGAGTCATCCTTGGCTGTGGAGAGACACACATCATTGGGGTCCCCAACATGGCCCCAGGGCACTCACATTGTACTGACGAAGGCTGTACCTCAGTTTTGTTAAGGCTGCCTGGCGATCTGCACCCCATACAACCAGCTTCGCAATCATGGGGTCATAATGCACTGAAACCTCATCTCCTGAAATTGAAAAACCACAGTAACCACTCAAAGTCAAAACTCAAAGTGATAAAATATGACATGCAAGGGGCGCCTGGGTGGCTCAGTGGGTTAAAGCCTCTGCCTTCGGCTCAGGTCATGATCCCAGGGTCCTGGGATTGAGCCCCGAATCGGGCTCTCTGCTCAGCAGGGAACCTGCTTCCTCCTCTCTCTCTGCCTCTCTGCCTAACTTGTGATCTCTATCTGTCAAATGAATAAAAAAAAAAAAATCTTTAAAAAATATATATATATGACATGCAAGACATTCTGCTAGGGCTTTATGCTCATTTCACACTTAATCTTCAGGAGTTCTTGCATGATAGATATCGTTACCACTGTTTTATTCATGAGGAACTGAGGCTCGCAGGGGTTTAAAAACTTACCACAAGTCTGAGGAGATGATGGCCACCCGAGGGCACCAGTCTCAAAAAGAGTGATTGAATAACACACATGGTGGCTTTCCCCATCCTATCTTCTTCTGAACCTTCTCTTCCCTTCTCATTTTAGAAGTCAGTTCAAACTGCCTTTACCCTCTCCTGTCACAATCACTTCTGCCCTTAGCATTCCCTTCCCGCCACCCTTCGGCTTCCTCACCAGAAAAATACAGATCATAATCCTACTATCCTAGAGGGTTCTTGGAGCATTGACAATAAAAGGCCAAATGCCATACCTGGCAGAACCAATAAACAAATAGCAGCTATCATTGCTACGACAGAGTCTTAGAGAACAAGAATCCTAACAATGCAGCCCCATAAGTTCAGGGCCATGCACATGAAGGCCCAGTCGTAACCCAACCTGTGCCCCTCAAGCTGCTAGCTGGAATAGTTGAAAAAAAAAAAAAAATCTGAACCATGCACATCTCATGGTTCAAGGTTAAAAATGGTTCAAGTCAAAAGGATGTGGTATGTTATAAAGAATACTGTTCTAGGATCTTTGTGTGATTTTTGGCAGCTCACTTGACCCCTCTGAACCCCAAGGTAACATCTATAAAATCAAGGTGTTAAATTATACTCCCATATCCATCATCCCCCCACCTCCCCACCCCACCACTCACCAAGACATACAGAACACTTCTAGGCCCAGGCCTGAGCAAGGTGCTGCAAATACAACATGGAAGAAACTTACAATATAATGGGAAAGCTAGACAAGAAGTAAAAGCTTACTGTAAAAGAACATAAGGAAAGTGCCTGAGGAATACACAAGGGGCTCAGGGAAACACAGAAGAGGAAGGTTGGGGAAGCTTCTTGGAGTAGACGACCCACCCCCTGCGGAGATGTGAACCTGGGAGTCCTTCTTGGAATTACGCCTCTGTTATCCTTTGAGCACCTTTGTTAAATTACACTTCAAGTTTAGCTTGCCCTGCAGATTCTTTCTTTTCCATTGCAAGTGTTCTCTCTTCTCTCAAGTATTCTGCTGTTAAGTTCAAAAAAATGTACTGACAGTATACTAAGTCTTGCTGTGGTTCAGCCAGGGCTCTCAAAATTCTTCCAATTTGTCCTCAAGATGTCCTGACTCCTCATTTTGGCTTTTGAGACACTGTGTGACCTGCTCTCCACCTGTACCCCTAGCTGCACCATCCTGCACCCTTTCCTCCAGCCACATGTTTTCCTACAGTTCCTCCTCCACACCTGGAGTTAAGCTCGCCTTTCTTCACTGCTCTGTGTGCTGCTCAATCTGCCTACTCAGATCCACTCATGGCTCCCCTTCAAAATGTGTCCCAGCTGTACTGGCCTAACACAACTTCCGATCCTGAGAACTGCTCTTCATCACTCGCCATCCGAGTAACTTCTCTGGCAACTAGAGTCAAGGTGGTAGGAGCTCAGGGCATGGACTCTGGAGCCAGAGAGACCGGGTCTGAATCATGGCTCCAACAGGGACCTTGGGCAAGTCACCTAACTTCTCTCTGCCCCGGTTTCCTCATCTGGAAAATGGGGGTGATAACAATACCTACTCACAGGGTAGTTCTCATGGTTAAAGCAGCCCATGTAAAAAAGTCACCTGGAACAGCGTACACAGTACACTGTAAATGCTAAATAATTGCTATGACCATCATTGTGAATCACATGCTGACTATGAGAGCTCTTATGCAGTTATTGTTTTATTTCTCTTTATTTCTTTGATTGTTGTTTAGCCTGCACTGAGTTTATATATTAATTCTATATATTAATTCTCCAGCTTGACTTTAAGTCCCTTGAAGGCAGAAGGCATTGGGCATAGTGGGGATCAGAGCCTTAAATCACTTTTAGAACTAGGCAGAGTAGAAATATAAATGTGTGTTATTTAGGTTTGAAGAAGTATTGCTACATTTCAACAAAGGGCGTATTGTTTAAAAACACTAGCTATTGGGGCGCCTGGGTGGCTCAGTGGGTTAAAGCCTCTGCCTTCGGCTCAGGTCACGATCCCAGGGTCCTAGGATCGAGCCCCACGTCTGGCTCTCTGCTCAGCAGGGAGCCTGCTTCCCTCTCTCTCTGTCTCTGCCTGCCTCTCTGCCTACTTGTGGCCTCTGTCTGTCAAATAAATAAATAAATAATCTTAAAAAAAAACAAACACTAGCTATTTTTTTAAATAACTATTGCAGAAAGAAAAATAAAGATTAAGGAGAAATCAATTAAGTCTTTTATTATAAAACATACTAGACATTTCCATAAGACACAGGGAAATGATGCTGTCCGGAAATAATTACGCACCGAAAATTCAAAAAGACCGAGACTTTTCATTCATTTCACTTTACCTTGTCTCACTCCAGTTTCAATCCTAGTGCAAAGGTCTGCCTGAGGGGTGGAGAGATGCACTAATGGCCCAGCTCCCGGCATGAAGTTATTGTCAGGATCTTCTGCATATATTCTAGCTTCAAAGGAATGGCCCTGCAGAGTTATTTCTTCCTGGCTCAAAGGAATCTTCTCTCCTGCTGCAATCTGGTAAAAGAAGATGTGCTTCTATGAAAATCCCCTTAACAACACCTATGAGACTTGGGAAGTTGATGGTCTTGCCTTTTTTCATGGAAAATGTACACTTGGGCTTTATAATGAAGCCAAATAAAAATTATTATTTTATCCACCTCCCCGAGTTTGGGGCGAAAACAAAAATAGGTTAAAAAACAGATGCAGCTTGGAAATAATGTATTAATTACAATGGATTTCTAGAGTTTTTAAGTAGAAAAAAGAGGTGAACTGATGACTAAATTATAAAGATCAATGTTTTTTCAAAGTAATCACGGTTAAAATTTCTTACTAGCAAGATAATCTGTTTTCATTTAAAACATCAGTGCTCAGTTACCAAACCAATCTTTTTAAATAATTAATTATTAATTGGTGTTTAGGACCACACTCACTGCTATGGCAAAAGTGTGGCATTTGTCATCTTTGTTAACCTTTTTTTTTTTTTTAAAGTTTATTTATTTAAGTAATCTCTACACTCAATGTGGGGCTCAAACTCACCACCCTGAAATCAAGAGTCACACGTCCTACCCACTGAGCCAGCCAGGCGCCCCCATCTTTGTCATCTTCATCACCAAGTGGGTGATAAAGCAGAAGAGAAAGGGGAACACGATGGTTTTTTAATTTTATTATGTTAAACGCATATTGTGGGATACCAGATTATAAACAGGATTACCATCGTTGCTTATCGCTACTATAATTATGCTGACTGTTATGTACTAATACAACAACTCTCTCTCTTCAACTAGTAGAATTTGGAAAAGGCTATTGGAGGATATGCTGTCACTCTCTCTACTCTCTCCTTACGTTGTCCTTTAAGGTGAGAAAAGGACAAACTGAGAAAGCAAAAGATAGAGGGGAAGAAATGAAGTAATTTAGCACCACTTAGAATTAAGCAGGAAAGCATGAAACAGAGGCAAAGATTTCATCTAAGGATGTAGGTAGGAAAAATCAGGAACTACAGGAGTTAAGAATGAAAGGAAAATGGAGTACACTGAATGCCTTTTTGACACAGTCTTTCAAACCACAGACTCTGCAGCCCTATTGTCTAGGTTCCAATTCTGTTTTTATACTTTGTTCCGGGCTTTTTTCTTAATTTCTTGATGCTTCAGAGGAAAGTGCATATGGTAAGTGTTACAAGTGTTAGCTATTGTCATTTCATTCCTATCCTTTTTAATGTTTTAATGAAGAACTCTATTTGTCTTTATACAAACAAGGAGAAGAATGACCATGTGTCCGTATGTCACGATGTGATCTTATTTCTAACTACATAGCCCCATTTTAATTTGGCTTATCTTTGCTTATTTTCCTCTCAGGTTGGCTTCTGTCTGGGTTCAGAAGAAACATGCCCCAACCAAGCCTCTGGATCTTTGGAAATCTGTGTCATGTTAGTTCACTCAGGCTTAGACACTGACTCTTTGGAACTCCTAGACCTTGGCTATTTTCCCCAGCTTCCGTGGACAAGGCTACCCACCTGCATCTGCAGCCCAGATGCTGACATCACTGCAGCCTCATTCTAGGGAGTCCTTGCCTCCAGAGGCTGGTCCTGGGGCTTGAACTCTTAACTCACTAAATGGTAAGACCCCTTGTTTTACCTCTGCCTGGAAGGTGGACTCCAAAGTGCCTTGAATGTTGTAAATGAGGTCTGGTGGTATCCATCAGTTCTAGAATCCCTCCCCTGATAAGAAAAGCCTACGTCTCTTTTTAAAGGGCCTTCAAAGCTCTTGCAATTTCTTGAGAGTCAAAAATAAAGTCTACTGGTTCCCCTTATTTCCAAAAGCTTTCTCTTCCCTTCCTTAGAAACCTTTTATCCATCATGATTTCAAAATTGTAGACTCCTGGGGCACTGGAGTGGCATAGTCAGTTAAACGTCTGACTCTTGGTTTCAACTCAGGACCCTGAGATCGAGCTCTGCTTTGGGCTCTGCACTCAGTTCAGTCTGCGCGAGACTCTCCCTTTCCGCCCCTCCCACCGCCTCTAAAAATCAATCAATTAATCAATCAATCTAAAACAAAAAATAAAATCTGGACTCTCTCAATTACTGCTTCAGAAAAAAAAAAAATCCCCCTTTCCTTGAATTCTGGAAACAGAACCACTCTTTCCAAAACTTTCTAAATCTGCTATAATTTTTCCCTCACTTACTAACACTAGCCTGATGTGCCTGGTTTTCATTAGCTCCCAAGGATATAGAGGTCCCAAAGAATTTTATGGCTCAATTAAAACCACCAATCATCCCCAAGGAACCAGCAAAAGGAGCATCATATTATTGTCCATAGATGTTCTGAAAAGACAAAATTATCAAAATAATCAAGACTTTAGCATCACAACCATGCAAAAAAAAAAAATAGATTCAAATATATAAAGAACCAAGAATCCTACAGAGATCAAAAGTACTTATAGTGCTTAAATATTTTTTCATAAAAAAGGCTGTAAAATCAAATGTTTTCAATAATGAGAGTAAAACAGACTAAGTTATTATTATTTGAAGGAATATGCTTTGTGGAACTCTAGTTCAAACTGGCCAGTGTTTCTTAGAAACGATTTATAACAAAGGAATAATTATAGACTTACACTTTTGTAACATACAGTAGACATATCATAGCAATGTCAGAAATGTTATAAAAATTTCTAAGCACTTATTCTGAGTGGGCTATACTTATCCTACCAACAACAGTGTGCAAGTCAGCATTTGCATGTGGCTCACTCTATTTGTCTAGATCATTACCTTGATCTTGGTCATTATCTTCATTTCCAGCTCTTCCTTAGCTCATTTCACTGGAGCTAGCATCTGTCCTGCCTCTAAAATCAAATGATGGCCCAGGCCAGAATACTGTGGCCTCAGGCAGGGCACGAGGCTTTGGTGTTGAGATAACGTGGTCACAAGAAAGCCTCGGGGGCAGCAGCTCACCTGCCCGTTGCCTTAGGCTGCCCCATGCCGAAGAGAAATGATGGTGACAGGTTAGAAATCTGAGTCCATAAAGTAACAATAATGTCACAGCAACAAATGAAATATCATCTTTAACTTCCCATTTCCCTGTCCTCAGGACAACCTCCAAGAATTGAACCCTTGTCCAAAGTGACACCATCTTTTAGGAGGCTAGCAGGTAACATATTCTCAAGACTTATCTTTAACAGAAATAACATTCCCACCCTAAGCTGCCACTCCACCAAGTCAGTTCCTGTGATCATCTCAGTCACAGGATGTTCCACTTGCAGCCTTGTATTCATTTCCATGAAGTAGAAATTGTGCTTTGAGTCCATAATAAACTCCACAGTTCCTAAAAGATAAAATACAATGATCACATTTCAATACCATATAATCAGTAGAAATCAAAACCTTCTATGATGTATCATATCAACTTTTTATTAACATATTTTTAAAATTTTATTTTATTTAAATTCAGTTAATTAACACAGAGTGTATTGTTAGTTTCAGAGGCAGAGTTCAGTGATTTATCAGTTGCATATAACACCCAAGGCTCATTATATCACGTGCCCTCCCCAATGTCCATCACCCAGTTACCCCTTCCCCCAACCCTGCTCCACTCCAGCAACCCTCCGTTTCCTATAGTTAAGAGTCTCTTATGGTTTGCTTCCCAAAACCAGAGAGAGAAACAAATCACATCAACTTTTTTTTTAAAGATTTTATTTATTTATTTGACAGACAGAGATCACAAGTAGGCAGAGAGGCAGGCAGAGAGAGAGAGAGAGAGAGAGAGAGGAGGAAGCAGGCTCCCTGCTGAGCAGAGACCCCCCCCCCCCGCCCATGCGGGACTCCATCCCAGAACCCTGAGATCATGACCTGAGCCAAAGGCAGAGGCTTTAACCCACGGAGCCACCCAGGCGCCCGAAATCACATCAACTTTTAATGCTGCCTTCATTCAATGGTAAACAAATGGTAAACATTATGCATTTCGAGAAGAAAATATCTTACACTTTGCAGCAGCAAATGAGCCTTAATAAAAAATAGGGAGCCACACATGAAATCTAGCAACAAAAAGTATGTTTGTGGTTTTCAGCAAAGGGTAAGTTCTGAGTAGTGTCAACTGCTGCAGCAGCAAGAACACAGTCGGACCATGTGTTACGGCTTTGGTGCACCGGGATCCCTGGAGGCTCACACTGTGACATTCCATCTCACTCTCACCCGGTAGAAAAAATATAATAGTATTTTTGCCTCCTGATTGTGGGCTTTGGAGGTTTCCTTTAAAAGTCCTTTTGCTGGTGATCCAGTGGAAGACCGCTTAGCAACAAAAGCTACATCTTTCCCAACCTTATTAAGGTGTAATTTCATATAATAAAATTTTTAAGTGTATGGAAGTGTGTTGAGTTTCAATCGCAATTGAATACAGTCATAGAACCACCACCACCACCACCATGAAAATGCAAAACATTTCCATTCTCCAAAATGTTCCCTTGTTCCCCTTTGTAGTCAGTCCCTTCCCTGGGTCACTGGCTCCAGGCAACCATAGTTTTTTCCTAGTGTCATATAAATGAAATCATATACTACGTAGTTTTTTGTGTTTGAGGTTTTTTCACTTAGCTGAAAGTTCCATATAATTTAAGACAGTTTCTCAAACTGTGGGTCATAACCCATTAGCGCCTTGTAAAAATTCAGCGAAGGCTTCCACTTTCTGGTCCGTAAGAAGCTAAGAAGTCACCATTCTAACCTGACAGGAGTAAAAAGCCAAATAAACTGAAAAATCAACAATTTTTCTCAGACCCATCAGAGATATAAAGTCGTAGGGCAAACTGCTGCCCCCAAAATCGGAGAGACAGGCAAATGCAGAGATTCAAAAACTTACTGGAACAGAAACTCATGAACAAAACTTCTAAGAGAATAAGTACCAGAGGAGGAAAAACTGGGCTGTAACTGACGAGTTGCTGGACGCTCAGTGTGGACAACTCTGTGAGTTACAACCTCCAAGGACAGCCCCCTGTACTTTTGTGTTTTACCTGCAGAAGCTCTAGCAGGTCCTCACAGTGAATACTGGAGAAAAATCCCCTTGAGCCTCTCACAGCAGAAAGGGAAAAGGAATCATTTGAAGTACACCAGAGTTCTGTTCTGACCAAGATTTGTCCATAAGAGAACTATTTTACTAGAGCCTAAACTATGGGTTTTTCATCAGAGCCTAAATAACAGACGAGGAGGAAGGGAAATACACAACTCCAGCCATCCTGCCCCCATAAGTGGATAAATCACAGCAAGTAAGCAAAAACAAAAACAAACAAACAAACAAAAAACCCCAAACTGAGACCCGCTGGTGAAATTCCGGGCCCAAGCTCACCAAAACACGTAAGATGTAATCTTAGGAATACAGGACACCTCTCCTTCCCCACACCTAACCACCACATACTAAAGACCTGTTCACCACAGTTCTTTTTACCTGGTACCTCAGGTCGGGCTATCAAGAAATAAATTACAAGGTACAGTCAGAGGCAAAAAACACAGTTTAAAGAGACTGAAAAAGCATCAGAACGTGACTCAGAAACGACACAAATATTGGAATAATCAGACCAAGAACTTCTTTTTGAAATATATGTATTTTTTAGTTTATTTGTCAGAAAGAGGGAGACAGGACAGCAGGGAGAGCAGCAGGCAGAAGGACAGGCAGGTTCCCCTCTGGGCAAGGAGACTGACGTGGGACTCGATCCCAGGACCCTGAGATCATGACCTGAGCCGAAGGCAGATGCCTAACCAACTGAGCCACCCAGGCGCCCCCAGACCAAGAACTTAAAAACATTCTGATTAGTACAGTAATAGGTTTAATGGGAAAAGTAGACACATGCAAGAGCCTACATAGATAAGATTCCTTGGAAATTCAAGGAGTCAAAAAGAAATGCTAGAAATCAAAACATGGTAATAGAAATGAAGAATGCCTTTGGTGGGCTCATCAGTAGACTGGACACAGCTAAGAAAAAGAATCTCTGAGCTTGAGAATATGACAACAGAAACTTCCAAAACTAAAAGTGAAGACAAAAGACTGAAAAAAACAAAACAGACTATCCAAGAACTGTGGACAACTAGACAAGGTATAACATAGACATAAATGGGAATACCAAAAAAATAAAAGAGAAAGGACCAGAAACAATATCTGCAGCAATAACGACTAAGAATTTTCTCAAATTAATGTCGAGACATTGAATACACACCTCTGGAAGGTCAGAGAACACTAAGCAGGATAAATGCCAAAAAACACCCAAAACCCTATACCTAGGCATAACACTTCCAAAGTACAGAAAACAAAAATGAATGAATGAATGAATCCTGAAAGAATCTGGGGCTGAGGGGACACACCTCACTTAGAAAGGAGAAAAGGTAAGAATTACATATGACTTCTCTTCAGAAACCGTGCAAGCAAGAAGAGTAGAATGTTATTTAAAGTCTTAAGTGAAAAAAAAATCAACCTGGTATTCTGTTATTTTGTGGAGTTATCCTTCCGAATGAAGGAGAAATAGGGACTGTTTCAGATAAATAAAAATTGAGAAAACTTATTGGCAGCAGATCTGTCTCACAAGAAAATAGGTCGATATTCCAAAAAGACAAAAACCTTAACGTGTATGCACCTAAGAAGAGAGTGTCAAATACATGGAATTAAAAACTGAGACCTGCAAGGTAAAAACTGAGACCTGCAAATAGATGAATCCACTAATACAGCTAGAGATTTTAACACCACTCTCAGAAATGGACAAATCTAGGAGGCAGAAAAATAAGGACATAGTTGAACTCAATAGCACCACCAATAAATTGGACATATTGATGTCTACAGACTACTTTATCCAACAATAGCACACTGCATATTCTCAAACTCACATGAACATTCAACAAGACAGACTACATTCAGGGTCACAGAAAAAACCTAAACAAATTTAAAGGAATAGATATACAATGTTTGCTCTCAAGACCATAATTAAATTAAAAATCAATTGAACTAGAAATCAGTATAGAAAGATAGCTAGGAAAAAAGTCCCCAAATACTTGGAGATTAAATAACACAGTACCAAGTAACACATGGACCAAAGAAGAAATCCCAAGTGAATTTTAAAAATATTTTAAACTAAATGAAAATAGAAATACAACTTTTCAAAAATTGTGAGATGTACTGAAAGCAGTGCTTAGGGGGAAATTTATAGCACTGAATCCATATATTTGAAAGAGAAGAAAGATCTAAAATTAAGCTTCCATTTTAGGAAATTAGAAAAAGAACAGCAAATTATTTCTAAAGTAAGCAAGATAAAAGAAATAATAGAGTAGAAATCTATGAAATTGAAAATAGAAAATCTACAGAGAAGACCCATAAAACCAGAAGTCAGTTCTTCGACAAGATCAATAACATACATAAGCTTCTAGCCACGTTGTTTAAGAAAAGAAAAGAGAGAGGAGACAAATTATTAATATCAGAAATGAAAGAAGGGAAATTACTATAGGTCTTATGGTTGTTAATAGGATATTAAAAGTATTTTATGAACAACTCTATGCCCATAAATTTGATAACTTAGATGAAAGAGACCAATTCCTTGAAAGACACAATCTGCCAAAAGTAACATAAGAAAAAAAAAAATCACTCTGAAATAATCTGAACAGGCCTCTATCTACTAAGGAATTTGAAATAATCATTAATAACCTCCCAAGCCTCTAAAATGGACCCAGATTGGTTCACTGGTGAGTTCTACCAAACACTGAAGGTAGAATTTATACCAATTTTCTATAATCTCTTCCAGAACATAGAAGACAGGATACTTCCTAACTCATTTTATGAGACCAGCATTACCTTAATACCAAAACAAGAGAAAGATTTTACAATATCTCTTATGAACATGGATGCAATTCCTCAACAAGATATTAGCAAATCAAATCCAATAATGTACCAAAATAAGAATATACTATGACCAAATAGGATTTATCCCAGGTATGCAAGGCTGGTCCAACATTGAAAAATCAATTAATGTAATCCATAACATCAGCAAGCTAAAGCAGAATCAAATGACTGTATTAATAGATGCAGAAAAAGTATTGGATGAAATCCAATACTTAATTATAATAAAAACTCTCAATAAACTACTAACAGAGAGGAACTTCCTAATTTGATAAAGAAGATTTACAAGAACCCACATCTAACATTATATTTAATGGTGAGAAACTAGAAGATTTCCTACTAAGAAGAGAAATAAGGGAAGGATGTCCATTTTCACCACTCCTTTTCAACATCACACTGAAAGTTCTAGTAATGCAATTAAAAAAGGAAATAAAAGGTATGTGGATTGAGAAGAAAGAAATGACACTGTCTCATCACAGATGATTTGTCTATGTTGAAAAATCCAAAAGAATTGACAAACTCCTGGAACTAAAAAGTGGTCATTAACAAGCAGGATATAAGGTTAATATAAAAAGTGAATTGTTTTACTATATACCAAAGATGAACAAGTAGAATTTGAAATTAAAAACATAATACCATCTACACAAACACCCCCCAAATGAAATAGGTATAAATCTAACAAAGTATGTGTAAGATCTATATAAGAAAACTATAAAACTCTGATGAAAAAAGTCAAGGAAGAACAAAATGGGGAGATATTCCACGTTCACAGAAAGGAAGACTTAACCTTGTTTAGATGTCAGTTCTCCCCACTTGTTGTACAGAGATAACATAATCCCAATTAAAATTCCAGCAAGTTATTTTGTGGATATCAAAAAACTGATTTTAGTGTTTTATAGGGAGAGCCAAAAGACCCAGAATAGCTAATTCAATATTGAAGGAGAATAACAAAGTTGGAGGACCGACACTGAGCTCAGGATTTACTATAAAGCTACAGTATTCAAAATAATGAAGTACTGGGGAAAGAATAAACAGATCCGTGGAACAGAATTGGCAGCTCAGAAATCGACCTATATAAATATAGTCAATTGATCTTTGACAAAGGAGCAAAGGCAATACAATGGAGCAAAGACAGTCTTTCAAAAAAAAAAATGGTGCTGGAATGGTGTTATTGTATATGTCTCACATATCAAAAGATGAATCTAGACACAGATCTTATGCTCTCAAAAATTAACTTAAAATGGACCATAGAGCTAAACTGGGAACACAAAACTATAAAATTCCTAGAAGATAGTAGGAAAAAACCTAGATGACCTTGGGTATGGTGACACCTTTTTAGGTACAACAGCAAAGGCATGATTCATTAAAGAAATAACTGATGAGCCAGGCTTCATTAAAATGAAAAACTTCCGCTCTGCAAAAGATAATGTCAAGAGGATGAGAAGACAAACCACAGACTGGGAGAAAATATTTGCTAATGACACCTCTGATGACGGACTACTATCCGAAATTTATTAAGGAGTCGTAAAACTCAGTAACAAGAAAACTAACAAACCAATTTAAAAAATGGGCAAAACACCTAAACAGACCTTACTAAAGAAGAAACACAGATGGCAAGCAGGCATATGAGAAGATGATCCAATCATGTTATTAGGGAAATGCAAATTTAAATGAGATACAACTACACACCTATTAGAACAGAACACTGATAATACCAAATGCTAGTGGAGATGTGGAGTAACAGGAACTCTCCTACATTGTTGGTGAGGATGCAAAATGGTACCGCCACTCTGGAAGAAAGTTTGGCAGTTTCATACAACACTAAACATATTCTTACCATACAACCCAGTGATTAAACTTCTTGATGTTTACCTAAATAAATTGAAACTATGCCCACATAGAACTCTGCACACAGGTTCTTATAATAGTTTTATTTATAACTGCCAAACTTAGAAAGCAACCAAGATATCCTTCAGTAGGTGACAGGATAATCATGGTGCATCCAGACAATGGAATATTATTCAACACTAAACAGAACTGATCGACCCATGAAAAGACATGGAGGAAACTTAAATGCATATTATTAAATGATAAAAGCCAATCTTAAAAGGGTACAAACTATTATGTTTAGCGAAATAAGTCAATCAGAGAAAGACAATTATCATATGATCCCCCTGATACGAGGAAATTGAGAGGCAACATGGGAGGTTTGGGAGGGTAGGAAAGGAATAAATGTAACAAGATGGGATCAGGAGGGAGACAAACCATAAGAGACTCTTAATCTCACAAAACAAACTGAGGGTTGCCAGGGAGAAGGGGGTAGGGAGAGGATGGTGGCGTTATGGACATTGGGGAAGGTATGTACTATGGTGAGTGCTGTGAAGTGTGTAAACCTGGCAATTCACAGGCCTGTACCCCTGGGGCTAGTAATACATTATATGTTAATAATAATTAAAAAAAAGGCTACAAACTGTATGATTCCAACTATATGACATTCTGGAAAAGGCAGAACTATGGAGGCAACAGAAAGGTCAGAGACTGTTAGGAGTTAAAGATAGGAAGGGATAAAGAGCAGAGCACAGAGGCTATTCAGGGCATCGAAAGTACTCTGTGTAATACTACAAAGGTGGATACACGTCATTACACATTTTTCCAAACGTATACTGTACAACAATGCCACAGAACGCACAATATCAAGAGTGAACCCTAATGTAAATTATGGATTCTGGGTGATAAAGATGTGTCACTGTAGGTTTGTTGACTGTAACAAATAAACCCCTCTGGTGTGGATGCTGACACTTGGGGAGGCTGTGCAAGGGTGGAGGTGGGGATATGGCAACTCTCTGCTCAATTTAGCTGTGAACCAATTAAAGTTTACTAATTTTAAGAGGCAAAAGAAAGCATTTTAGTGATTTTATTTTAAAATGGGATAGAAAATATCAAATAGCATTACTCATAATTAAGATAAGTACTGTTTAGTGAATTTTTTTCCAACTATACATGTATACAGACATAAATACATATGTATACATACTTATGTGTACATGCGGGGTCTCAATGTAAAACATATTTCTTAATGTGGGTATAATTTGTTTGAAAGACAATGATTTAAAAGTTGTAAGTTTCTTTTGCCTTCTAAACATCAGTAAATGATTATTTCTTCTTGTCCATTCAAAGTAAATCTTAGCATACCTGCTCCAACATAATTTACAGCTTTAGCAGCTCGGACTGCAGCTTCTCCAAGCTTTTTTCTTATTTCAGGTTTAATACCAGGCTATGAAAAAATATTTAAAATAAATTTCCATTAGTTCTTTGCCCTACTAGAAATTTCCACTAAGATCCAATATTGCATTTCTAGGTATCAAATATTACATTAAAGAGTTAATATGGATAAATAGCTAATGCTATATATTTCATCAAGAAATATATCCTATACCACAGTCAAAAGCTCCATATCAAAGTTTAATCATTGTTAGTAATTTCTATGAACTGTAGATATTATTCAGCATAATGATATATCAATCTCCTTTGTACCTACATAAGAACTTTCATGACTATATCCAATTACATGTATCAATATGAAAACTCTGAATGATCATTATATTATTTAAAGATGGTAGAGCAATCTGGGCCATGTGACCAATAATTATCTTGGAATAATGGTAAACCTTAAGAGTCCAACCTAGTAAGAAAGGTTCATAGAAAGAAATGTAGGTTAAAAAGTAGGCAAAGGTTTTAACATTTTAAAACAGTGTTCTACAGCCACATACTTAAGCAATCACTACTTGAAAATAAGGCTTTACCGAAATTATTGTTGACATTTACTTTGAATGATACAATATAGTCTGCAGCAGAAATTAAAATCTGAATACAGTATGAGAGCAACAAACTGATTAACCAGAAACCTCAGATCCCTGACCTTTTACAAGTACTGAAAAAAACAAAAAACAAAAACCGTGTAGAAAACCTTGGACAAGAAAGCCTACGGCAGTAGTAGGCTCAAAGAAATGTAAACCCAAAAAGGGGTAGGAGTAGGCCTTCTAGGCTTAGGCCTTGACCCAGAGGACAACAGAAACCAATCAAGAGACAGACCCAAAGAGATGTAACAATTAATTCCAAGGGGGAAAAGTTGCCAAATAAGAGCAAATCTCCCTCCTCTACAATAAATTTCTATGGTAGGAAGATGACTAAAATATTTTAGGGACATCTCAAACAGAAGTTAAAAGAAACTTCAAAAAAAAAAAAATTCAGTGACCCAGGCTAACCCATTCCTCAAACATTCCCATTAAATTTTAAAATCCATATGGAATTATTACACAATTGCTCCCTATAAGTCAGATTCAGCTCTTCCTCAACTTACAGTGGGATTGTGCCCAGATAAACCCAACTTAAGTTAAAAATATCGGAAGTTGAAAATTCACTTAAATATATGTACCTACCAAACATCCTAACTAAGCTTAGTCTACTTTAAGCGTGCTCAGAACACTTACAGTGGCCTACAGTTGGGAAGAATCATCTAACACAACAGCTATTCCGTAATAAAAAGCTGAACATCTCATGTGATTTGCTGAATACCGAGTACAGAGGGTGTATGAACAGGTACAGGTAAGAACGATTTTGTTTACCCTCCTGACTGTGTGGCTGACTGGCTCACTGATGCTGCCCAGGAGAGTATCATACCACATATAGAGCCTGGGAAAAGATCAAATTCAAAATTCAAAGTACTTCTATTAAATGTGTCTGACTTTTGTACCACTGTAAAGTCAAAATATTCTAAGTTGAACCATGGTGAAGTCAGGGACAGTCTGTACTTGGATCAGAGTAGATTTTCCTAGATACCATCCAGAAGGATCATGGTCCTCAGTATGGTAGCCTGGGAATTTCAACCCCCTGATCCCCAAGGCTTCAGTGGGGCCTCATCTTTATACTACCCCTGGGAAGCAGTTATTCAGCAGGACTCTGGAGGAGACACTACCTTCACCGATTTTTGATGTGAAAATCAGAGGGATTGAGGTTTACATTATAGAGAAGCTTGCAAATTTCTTTACAAGGTCCTTACCCCTGGGGCTTCCTCAATGATCTTCTGATGCCTCCTTTGTACACTACAGTCTCTTTCAAACAAGTACACAGCATTGCCATGGTAGTCACCAAACACCTGGACTTCTACATGCCTATTTAAAAACCCAATGAGAAAGTTTCCACTTGTAGAATGAACACTCTAGGAAAAAAATTACATACATGAAGTGACTAGGAAATAAGAAAACATAGGAGACTATATTTACAGCCTCAGAGTAGGTACAAGTCACAAGTACAAACTGTCAAGGAAAACTGATAAATCTCACATCAAAATTACAAATTATAGTCACTTTTCATGCACTCTCAAAAAACCAAAGATAACTTTTTTATGATCAGGGGATTTTTATTTCATTTTTTATTATTTTTAAAAAGATTTATTCATCTATTTCAGAGAGAGAGAGCAAGCAAGCAGAGAGAGGCAGAGGGAGAGAGAGAGGGAGAGAGAGAATCCTGAAGCATACTCTCCACTGAGCACAGAGCCTGATACAGGGCTCGATCCCAAGACCCTGAGATCATGACCTGAGCTGAAATCAAGAGTCAGCTGCTTAACTGACTGAGCCACCCATGCACCCTATAATCAGGGGATTTTTAAAAATCAACTCTCATGGTCAGATTTTATAAACTCAGGCAGACTAAAAGTTATAATGGCTCATCCATAAGAAGGTTAAGGAATAAATCAGTATGGATCATGAATTTTTAAAAAATATTACTAATGTTATTATCATAAAAACAAAAAAGGCACTTTAATGTTGAATCTAAAATAGTAAAATTAAGAGAAATCATATTAAGAGTAAATACACAGAACACTTAAGAAAATGAGGGTACACAGACCATTTGGTGAACATGAAAGCATTCTTCTCAGTAGGTTTATTCTGATAGGTTCACTGTGTAGTTTACCTCACATATTCACCACCATGATGGAGAAATGAATGACCAGCAAATGTTTTTTCTATTGATTTTTTAAAATAAAAATTGTCAAAAAGAAATAACGATAAAAGAAAAACCAAGAAGGGTCTTGTAAATGTACTGTTGTAGCACAATAGTTCTTTTGTTTCTTTTTGTTCACCTCATGAAGCCACTTCATTACACCACTTGAAAAATTGAGTTTCTTGATATACCATTTCTACTGAATGTTCAATTTTAACATTTTCCAACCTGTCCAATACATGCTCTTGACAAAATAATAGGAACTGATTTCTTCCTTTTAGATCTGCCTGCTTGAGTTTTCCTCCTCTTTTCATTTATCTTTAAGCTATTATCACCACTTTCTTGCTTTTACTTCTCTGGACAAACTGTTGTCTGTGAGATCAACTGAAGAGAAAAATGAGATTTTATTTTAGCCTCATTTAGTCCTTCTCGAATGTTCTTCTTTTCTTTAGGGAGATCCAAATTTCTGGCCTGTATCATTTTCCTTCTCTCTGAAGAACTTGTTACCATTTCTTAGAAGTCAAGTCTGTGGTAACAATGTCCCTCAACTTTTGTTTGTCTGAGGAAGTCTGTTTCTCCCTCCTATTTGAAGGATAATTTCACTGGACACAGAGTTCTGTTAGTTTTTTTTTCTCCTTTCAATGCTTTATAAATATTTCACTCCCCCAATTCTTTCTTAAGCCTGATATATTTCTTACCTTGTTTCTCTATAGGTAAGACATTCTTATCCCCATGTTTTCCCCAAGATTTTCTATTTGTCTTTGGTTTCCTAGAAGTTTGAATATGATTCAAAAGATGTTTTGATATTTATCCTGCTTGGTATCCTGAGAGTTTCCTAGTTCTGTGGTTTGGTGTTTGTCATTAATTTCAGAACATTTTTGGCCATTATTACCTCAAATATTTCTCCTGTTCCTTTCTTTCTTCTAGTAGTATTCAAATAAAACATAGGCTATACCTTTTAAAACTGTCCCACAGAGCCTGGATATTAACGTTTGTTTTCATTCTTATTTCTCTTTGCATTTCAGTTTGGGAAATTTCCATTGACCTATGTTCTAGGTCACGGATTCTTTCCTCAGCTGTGTCCAGTCTACTGAGGAGCCCACCAATTGCATTCTGCATTTCTGTTACATTGTTTTTGATTCCTAGCATTTTCTTTTGACTTTTCTCTTCGAGTGTCCATCTCTCTGCTTACATTTCCCAAAGGGTCTTCTTGTTGTCCCTTCACTCCATTAGAGCCCTTCACATATTAATCAGTTAAACAACTCTGTGTCTGTAATTCCAAAATCTGTGGTTCTGATGTTTGCTTTGTCTCTTTACACTGTGCTTTTTCTTGCCTAAGTTTTGGCATTTTGGCATGACTTGTCATTTTTTTTTTTTTGTAAAAGCTGGACATGAGGTATCACTTTACAGTAACTAAGATAAATATAGACGTTTACTGTAAAGTTTAATGTGAATCTGGCCAGGGCGCTGGGTTTAATGTCTGCAGTAGCTGTAGGTACCAGAGGCTTGTTTCCTCTAGTGTCCTTGTTTTGTTTTGCTTTGTTTCTCCTGTTGTCTTTGACTAGGAGCTCTTCTTAAATAGTCTGTGTCTTACAGCTCTTTCACTTGAAACCCTATTATTATACTAGGTCCCTGGTGACATGGTAAAAGGGTGCAGGGGAGGGAACGCAGACTATGATCTAGTGATTAAATCTCGGTGTTTTAGTGGGCTCATATCCCTGTGTGCTTCCAGTTTCTGTGTTCATGAGCACCATCTGTTTGTATGTATGTGTATATATATTTTTTAAAGATTTTATTTGACAGAGAGAGCACACAAGCAGGGGGAGGAGGAGAGGGAGATATTTATTTTTAAAGTATGCTGCACAACCAGTATGAAGCTTAAATTCACGACCCTGAGATCAACAGTCACATGCTCCACTGACTGAGCCAGTGAGGTGCCCCCAGAAGTGTTTCTTAGCATTTTTTCTCTCGTTACATGAAACAGGAAAGCTAGAGGGGGTTAGAGTTGGCTAACTACCCTTCCCACACAACAGCAAAGTTTCCCTTGGAGAGCTGGCCTTTGTTAGGGAGAACAGACCACTCCAGGCCTATCTCAGATGGTTACTTTTCTCCTCCTTCTGCCCCAGAATGGGAGGGAATTTTTCCTGGATTTTCACTGTGAGAACCTGGTGGTGTTCTTGAAGGGAAAACATGAAAATCGGGGGTTCCCCAACACTGGACCTTGAGGGGTTTCTCACTATCATGCTAGTCCACACCCAGACTCCAGGAATTTATCATAATCCCTGCAGAAGCGTCCCTTATCAGTTTTTGGCTTTCCGTGGCTTTTGCTCAGGGCGAGTGGCTCTTGGCTATGATTCACTGTATTCACGTGTGCTATCTGGATTTCAGGGTGGTGGTTTGCCCTGCGGTCCCCACTCTCTGATAGGTCTAAAATTCACTGACTTTCATTTTGTTCAGAATTGCACTTGCTTTTTTGGATGTGAGTGACAACTTCCAACCTCTTTACATGTTGGAACTAAATGGGTTGTTTTTCAAATTCCAATTGTAAAATTTTACTACTCTCTTATCTGTTAGCTGCTCCAGGGAAGGAGTCAGGAGAGCAGGGACTCCAGGTTCTGAAAGGAACACATACCAGGGCCACAACACAGCTCTTTTCTGAGTTATCAGAAGTTGGACACACTTGTTCCTGTGGCAGCTTACCAGGGAAACTTTTTGAGGATCTGTGTTCTGTTCTGATTTCTGTAGTGATCTTTTGCTTTTGTTATTTTCCTTTTCCTGACTGATCCTTTTTCTGTGCTGCTTTATCTAATTTAGAGATTCTGCAGCCGACTGTCTGAGAACCAGGAGGTACACCAAACCCCAGCTGTTCCAGTTCAGCCATTGCTGGGTTCTGGCCACATGGACAGATACAGCTGGAGTCTACCAAGAATGCCTTGATATCTTCCAAAAGTTCGACAGTTTTTATTTTCCTATTTGCATTTTTAACCATCTAGAATACATATTGAATGTGAACTGAGAAAGGAACCTGATTTCCTTTTATATCCTCTGAAATAGTACATTTTGAAGACTGTTTCTATACCAGCCTTTCAGGTAAGCTCAACAGTTCTGAGCAGATTTATAAAACATCTTGATATGTACTTTTCTGAGTTATAAGCACCACCTTGACAATCTTCTGGCACTCCATTAACTCAACAGGTAATTACTTGGCAGCATACAAAATAGTGTAATTATCATGATATTAAAATATTATTACTAGAAAACAGAATAAATATATACAGAAATGCTATTACTTGTATTAAGAGAATGAGATTATGAGTGACTTTGTTTTCCATCTTCCGTATTTTCCATGTTTGTAATGTATATTACTTCTATATTTCAAAAAATACTATTATTGATGCTTGTCATGAAGAGAGTAGCATGCCAGCTGATATACACGGAAAATTAAAAAGAAATGTACTATCAGGTCCTTGATTCCCAGGAGCTTTCCAGCTATTGGGTGAAAAATTACAATGTGAGGTAATATTCAGCTAACATTTTACATGTAAAGAATTTACATCTTTAGAGAACGTTGTAGGCATTGAGTTACGGTCACTGAAATAGCTAGCCGACATCTCCAGGATAATTCTAACTCAGAAGCATGCCAGTCTGGACAGTCAGCCTATTTTTTTTTTGAAACATGTTGTGGAAGGGAGCCCTCAATTTCCCTTAGAACTTCTTCCATTTTTGCCTTACTTCCCACTAACAGGTGGCAGACTTTTTAACTATTAACATTTAAATGAATTTAACTTACCATGCTGTGTTTGGGGACAGTTCAAAGTTTTGTAGCACTTGAAACAAAAACAATTTGGGGGCTGTCCTTAAGAAGAATATAAAATTAGGTATAGGATCTTAGAAGAGGCTCACACAAGGGAGGGGCCTGAAGCTTTAGTATATTATCATCAAGGTAAAACCCTCTCTGCTCATGGTTCCCAAGTGAATTACTCTTTATGAAGCCACCTGACTTTCTCTCTCTCTCTCTCTCTATATATATATAAATGTGTGTGTGTTAATACATAATTACCACAAAATCTATGAAACAAGAAGCTTTTATAGTCAGTATCTTATTTTAAGCAATACATAGGAAAATAAAGTTTCAGAAAATAAAAAAAATTGGAAATTCACATGGTATTTGTTACAGCAGTACCTAGAGAAGCAGTTTAGTACAGTGGCTTAGAGTGTGAATTCTGAATTCAAATCCCAGCTTCATCACTTCCCAGCTGGGAGACCTGAAGCAAGTTGTTAACGACCACTCTGCTCCTCAGGGTCTTCACATGCAAAACGGGAATAGGGCCTACCTACAGGATTGTTGCAGGAATTAAATTAGGATTAGGAAAGCAAAATTTTTGGGTATATGTAAAATGCTCAGAATGTGGCAAATGGTAATTGTGATATATGGGTGAGATATTAGTATTATTTGTTAACATATCACTACTGGCCCAATTTAGATATCTATTCCCATTCTCTGAGCATCTCAACTGATGCTTATAGAGTTCTGTAAGATAAAACTAAGTTTTTTACAAGAATTCTTTTATTTTGAAAAAAATCCCTAAGTTCCATCAACAAGAAATGGATTAGGGATGCCTGGGTGGCTCAGTCGGTTAAGTGTCCACCTTCGGCTCAGCTCATGATCCCAGGGCCTGGGGATCGAGTCCCACATCGGGTTCCCTGTTCGGTGGGGAGTCCGCTTCTCCCTCTCCCACTCCCCCTGCCTGTGCTCTCTCACTCTCTCTGTCAAATAAATAAATAAAATCTCAAAAAAGAAAAAAAAAAAAGAAATGCATTGAATAAATTAAGGGTATGCCAATATCATGGAACCATTAAGCCCAATAAAAAGAATACAGAAGACTTATATTTACTGACATGGAAAGATGGCTATGGTATCATATTAGCATATGATATTATGTAAGATTGTACTCACTGTACTTTTGTATGTATTTTACATTCTGTGTGTATATGCATAAACTTTCTATTTGATTAGAAAATGCTTGGAGGAAAGCACACCATATATACTAAGTGGTTACATCAGGGCTGGGATTGGGGAACTTAATGTACTTATGTACTAGTAGAACTTTATATTTTAAATAATTTTTTATAGTTTGCATACATTTCTTTTATAATTTAATTTTAAAAATCTGAGTTGGAAAAAAGACCGAACTCACCTTGGAGTGTCTACAAATTTCTCAATCAGCATCGCATCATCATTGAAAGACTTCTTAGCTTCTCTCCGCGCTGATTCTAACTGTTCTTGAAATTCCTCTTCGGATCTGACGATCCTCATGCCCTAAGACAGCAAGACAGTATGACTACGACCTAAATAAAACCAAGAAGACTAGCCTGAAGTGAAAACACGAGCACGCACAATCTTACTTTCCCTCCTCCACCACGGACGGCTTTAATCATGACAGGATAACCGATTCTCCCCGCGTGCTCCCTCAGGCACTGGTCTGACTGGTCCTCGCCATGATAACCTTCCACAACAGGCACTCCGGCAGCAGCCATTATGGATTTGGATGTGCTTTCGAATAAGAAAGGTGAGATGCCCCATTTCTATGCGTTATTTCATACAAACAGCCCCATCGACAAATACAATGGAACTTTTTAAAAATAAAACATTCCCAGGTAAAGGAAAGACTACAGTCTGAGACAATTAACACAAATATTAAACTATTAGTTTTTCTGTGATAACTATGAATCTAGTGCTTCATGTGATAGCTCATCCCACCTTGTTCTTTATCCCTAAAACTAATTCATATATTGATTAGAAACCCTAATTAGATAAACATTTTCTGTAACTCACTGGAGTGGCAGATGAACAGCTTACGCCCATGACAACCAAAGGTTCTAACTGCCATGTCTGTTAGAGGTTAAACAAACAATTTCAGTAGACCGTCCTACAGTTATATTTAAAAGGTAGAAATGAATACCTCTTTATACCCATGTCTTTAATTGCAGATGAAGGAGGACCTATAAAAAGAATTCCTTCTTGTTTGCACAGTTTGGCAAATTCCGTGTTTTCAGAAAGAAAACCATATCCTGGATGGATAGCCTAGAAGTGAAAATGAAAGGACAAACTTACTAGTACTCCACTGGCACGCCGTGAGGAAGGAGATGGCATTTTCCTCTGGGGAAGCCCCTCCCGACACTGGTGGTAAGTACACTATGGGCTCTATCAAAATCTGTTTCCAAGAGGTATCTGAAACATTCTTACTAAAGTTCCAAAGCCTGGCCTGAAACGGAAAAATCTATACTTCTTTTTATTGTGGTAATATATACACAACATAAAGCTTACTGTTTTAACTGCTTTTAGGTGTACGGTTCAGTGGCATTAAAGTACCTTCTCAACGCTGTGCAACTATTAACACCATCCATTTCCAGAATGTTGTCCCCATCCCAAACAGAGACTCTGTACCCATTAAATATCAATTCCACATTCCCTGATAACCTCTATCTTACTTTCTGTCTCTATGAATACCCCATCTAGGAACCTAATATAAATGGAATTGTACGACATTTGTCCTTCTTTGCCTAGTTTATTTCACTTAGTGTTATGTTTTCAAGGTTCTTCCATGTTGTAGCATGTATCAGAATTTCATTCCTTTTCATGGCTGAATAATGGACCACTGTGTATATTCCACATTTTGTTTTTTTGCTTATCCATTCATGCATTGAGGGAGGTGTGGATCGTTTCTACCTTCCGCTTTTGTGAATAACACGGCTATGAGCATCGATGTACAAGCACCTGTTTGAGTCCCTGCTTTAAATTCTTTTAGGTATATATCTATACGTGAAGCTGTTGGATCATACAGAAGAATCTAAAATAATACTGCTATTAGGGTAGAGCGTCAATGAGTATTTGCAGACATGAGTAAAGGGCTCCAGAGTAGCAGAGGGGAGGGCTGTTTACTCTGCTTCCATATAAAGTTGGCCTAGAACTGAAACCATGGTACCCCAAAACTGAAAGGAACACGTTAGCACAATAATACCTCATTTATCTTCAGTTCACTATCTGCCAATATCACCTTTCCAGAAAAAAAGCTAAGAAGCAAACAAAAAGTCATATGTTAGAGTCTACATATACTTAGTGAAAGAGGATCCCCTCATATGTTAATCTAGTCACTTGAAACTTACTCGGAGTTTTAAGAAATTTATTTGTCTGGCTTTCTAGCCCACAGAAGGGGAAAATTAATACCTAAAGGACAGTAAGATTTCCAAGAACAAACATACTCACAGCAAAAAAGGGAGGATACAGAGGAAAACAAAAGCACAACAGTATAACATGATTCAGTGAGGGATAAAGCAACTTTCTCTCCAACCTCAACAGCCCTGATGTCATTTCTGTTCTTCTAAATTAATAAGACTATATAATAATTATAACCAAGAGAATGTAGAAAGAAAAAAGTTCAGCCAATACTATTTCAAAACAAACATACTGAAAGAATAGTTATGTTTCAGGGGCACTGGGTGGCTCAGCTGGTTGAGCGACCAGCTCTTAATTTCAGCTCAGGTCATGATCTCAGGATTTTAAGGCCCCATCCTGGGCTCGCGCTCAGTGTGAAGTCTGCTTGAGATGCTCTCTTCTTGTCTCCCTCTGCCCCTCCCCTGGCTTGTGCATATGCTTTCTCAATCTCTCTCTCTTTAAAATAAACAAAAAACCAAATAAATAAATTCTTTAAAAAAAAAAAAAACAAAGAACAGTTATATTTCAAAATTAAAGGAGTATGCTTCAGACATCTGGGAAACTCATGAACAGAATACCTACATTTTAGTGAGAATAAATAATAAAATGCAAGATAATCACATTTTGATATCAGTTTGATCAGTTTGATGTTTTTTAAACCAAAGTTCAATTTTAGTAATTTTATATGAAATGTCAAATATTATTTATGTGAGGCAAAGTCAAACAGATCTATATCCTAGTCTTCCCAATGTCTTAACACCCTTTCTTTTTTTACTTACAGTACATAACATTCACTCATTTACAGTTTGATTAACTAAGCAAATTTATACAACTGTGCAACTATTACTATAATCCAGTTGTAAAATACTTCTGTCACTTGAATAAATTCTTCTGTGCCCCTATGCATAATTGATAAATCCTTGCTCCCAGAACCAGGCAATTCCGACCTGCTTTTGGTCTCTTATAATTTTGCCTTTTTTAGAAATCTCATATAAATGGGATGACATAGTACAGAATCTGATGTGTTCAGTTTCTTCAACTTAGCATGTTTTATGGCTCATCCTTACTGTGTGCGTGGGTAGTTCATTTTTTATAGATCTTTTTTTATTTGTTGATGCACTGAATGGATAGCCCACATTTTATTTATCCATTTATTTGGATTTTTTTTCCAGTTTTGGACTATTATGAATAATGCTGTTATGAACACTCATGTACAAATAACATCTGTGAACATATTTTTCATTTCTCTTGGGTAAATACCCAGGAATGCAACTGTTAGGTCAAATATGGTAAGTATATATTTAACTTTTTAAAACCAGCCAGTTTTCTAAAGTGGTTGATGATAATGATCTAAAGATCATTACTATAATCTAAGATACTGAGTAAGATCTAATAACGTAACTTTTTGTTACCCCCCAAACAAACTCTATGTCTATTAGTGGTTATTGTCCATTCCCTACATATCCCTAGCCCTAGATAACCACTAATTTACTCTGTTTCTACAGATTTGCCTATTTTGGACATTCCATATAAATAGAATTATACAATACATACAGTCTTCAGTGACTGGCTTCCTTCTTCCACTGAACACAGTATTTTCAAAGTTCATCCACTTTTTAGCATGTATCAGCACCTCTTTCCTTTTTATTGCTTATTTTAGGTTTATCTTTTTGTATATAAATATCTAATTGTTCCAGCATAATTTGTTGAAAAGACTATCTTTCCTACTGAATTACTTTAGCTCTTTTGTTCAAAAATTAATTGACCATACATGTGCATGTTTATTTTGGGACTTTCTATTCTGTTGCACTGACATACATATTTTTCCTTCTGATACCATACTGTCTTGGTTACTGTAGGTTTATTGTGAGTTTTGAAATCCAAAAATCTAAACCCTACAAATTTATTGTCTTTTCAAAAAAAATTTTTAAAGATTTTTTTAAGTAATCTCTGCACCCAACATGGACCTTGAACTTACAACCCCAAGATCAACAGTTGCATGCTCTACTGACTGAGCCAGCTAGGTACCCCTCAAAATAGTTATAACTATATATTAGACTTTTGGGGTATTTTAGGACCAGCTTGTCAATATTTACCAAAAAAAAAAAAAAAAGCCTATTGGGATTTTGATCAAGATTCCCTTAAATCTACAGATCAATTTGGAAAGAACTGCCATTTTAATACTACTGATTATTCCAATGATATACGTATCCATTTATATATACACCATATACATATAACATATGTAGAACTTAGAATTTAGAACTTCTTTAATTCCCCTCAGCAATGTGTTATAGTTTTCATGCATAGATCTTAAAACTGATTTTTCTAAAGTTAGTGCTAAGTATTTGATTTTTTTGATGTTATTTTGAATATTACTGTTTCCTTAACTGCATTTTCAAAGTGTCACTAGCATCCCTTCTTTTGAACAGATACTTAATTCAATGGAATTCTGATGAACCAGATAAATACTCTCCCTTCAAACCTAAAAAAAAAGCACTATCTTCTTGCAAAAATTAAAAAAAAAAAGAAAGAAAGAAAGAGAAAGGTCCAACCACACATTACAGGAATGACCTCAAGAAGTTTTAATTAATTTATCTTAGGAAGAATAATTTAATATATCCAGATCACAGTATTTCTCGATCATTTGAATATATTAAAAAGGAAAAATCAGTAATACTATTGTTAGCTGGGGGCTAATTCTCTAGCCACTGGGCATGTATTTAGCAGCCAATTTATCCTGGGCTCCCAGGATTATAAGCCCCTATTTAGATCCTTCATTCCATAACACTAATGTGCCTGTAACAGTAAAGATAAAAACTGTCATCTCCTACCCTTAAATCTCTGCCAAAATAATTTATTCCATGCTTTTAGTTTGTAACCTTTCTGCTGCACTTTCCAAGCATATGTATAGATCCAAAGTTGTTGTTGGCTCTGCCTTCAAGCAGAAATGAGGTGTCCTTCCTTTGGTGGAGAGAACAAGTCATACTCTTTAAATTCCTACTACCAAGAATTTCCTATCTACAGCTGATACTTAAAACATATGGATTTCCATTTGGTCAACTACACAGATGATCAGCATTTAAATAACTTGCAATATTCATTAAAGTTACTTACCAGTGATCTTGAAATGCCTGTAATAAAGTTATTCATTCCTGGTGGTACAGTAAAAGAAACTGGAGCACTTCATAAAACATTAATGCTCGGAACTAATCCTGTCAACTGAGGGGATAAGTTTTTTGTTTGTTTGTTTGTTTGTTTTTTAAATCCTCCACTAAAGAGGAATACACATACAGAAAAGTGCATGTCATAAGTAGACAGCTTTTATAAACACAGTCTTGACTAACTGAATACACCTGTGTAACCAGCACTCAGCTCAAGAAACAAAATATCACTAGTATTCCACAAGACCCTTATGAGCTCTCTTCTAATAACTAACTATAGGGCCCTCCCCCAAAGCACTATGGCAACATTCTCTTTAAAAAAGGCTGCTCGGGTGATCTTAATCTTCAGCCAGCACTCACTACTTGATTTTCCCATGCAGAGAAGGTCTGAGACAAATGACAATCAGAAGAACTACAGAACCATTACATTTTCTAGATTCTTTCAAGTTAGCCATGTCACCAGGCAAATCACAAGAAATGTAGCTCACGTGCAAATGTTACTCTAGCATCTGTAAAAATGCCTATGCCAATATGACTACATTAACAATTCTACATTCTGGGCAACCTTTCAAAATCACTAGACAAATGTTATTCAAAGTCCTATATCAAAAAGATCAGTAAGTTTTTTCTTCAAAGTTAAAGCAAGGTATACTCCCCTAATTGACAAGTAACCTTTTATTAGAGAGCCTCATTGATCGTAACCCACCAAATTTCCTTCTGAATCAGGATTCCAGGAAGAACTGAAGCAGGTTTCTTTGGCCTAAGTTTTCTGACTTAATTCCAAACCCTATACCAAATAATAGTCCTATATTACTGATTTTTCTGATGTTATTCTTTGTTTTACAAACATTACAGGTAATGTTTACAAGCCATCTCGAATCTTGAATATCCAAAGTATGTGAAAGTTATTTCTTCTTTCTTCATTGTGTATTAGTATAACATCTAAATAATACTAGCCCAGATAGATACAGAGTTAATAAATTCCCCAGAATTAGCAATATCATTCACTTGCTACAAGGTTATTATTTAAACTGAAAACGGTCTCAGCAAATTATCATTAAAAAGGGAGATTTCAGGAGTGCCTGGGTGGCACAGTCGATTAAGCATCTGACTCTTGGTTTCAGCTCAAGTTGCGATATCTCAGGGTCATGAGGTTGAGCTCTGGTCAGGCTTGCACTCGGTGTGGAGTCTGCTTAAGATTTTCTCTCTCCCTCTGGACCCCTCCACTGCTTCTCTCTCTTTCTCTCAAAAAAAATTTTTTTAAAAGGAAGATTTTCACCTCTAAAATAACGATTAGAGCACAAAACAATGATAAAATACGGAAGCTGGCTGGCCTATGAGAAACTTTTTTTTTTTTTTAAAGATTTTAGTTATTTATTGGAGAGAGCGAGACAAAAAAAACCATGAGTGGGGGGAGGGAAAGACAGAGAAGCAGGCTCCCCGCTGAGTAGGGAGCCAGACATGGGGCTTGATCCCAGAACCCTGGGATCATGACCTGAACCAAAGGCAGGCAGCTGAGTCACGCAGGCAGCTGAGTCACCCAGGCGCCCCTATCCTATAAGAAACTATTTTTAATTAATTGAGATTTCTGATTAAATAATGCCTTCCTTTTTACCAAAATACAGGGCAACAAAGTTCTACTGCTCAGCATGGTCTAACACAGGGCTGTACGTCAGGAGACTCTTATTTAATCCTCTCTTTCAATGTTAAATTCTAAGTTCAAGGTACCTGGGGATCTTAATAAAAAGGCAAATTATGCATAAAAATGTAAATCACAGTGGTTTGGGGTAAGGCTTAAGAATCTGCATTTCTAGGGCACTTGGGTAGCTCAGTGGGTTAAGCCTCTGCCTTCGGCTCAGGTCATAATTTCAGAGTCCTGGGATAGAGCCCCGCATCAGGCTCTCTGCTCGGCAGGGAGCCTGCTTCCCTCCCTCTCTCTGCCTAATTGTGATCTCTCTCTGTCAAATAAATAAATAAAATATTTTTTTAAAAAGGAAAAAATAAAAAGAATCTGCATTTCTGCTGAGCTCCCAAACAATGCCACAGACCATGCTCTGATTGGCGAGGTTGGATGATTTGGGTTATTATGTAACCTTCTGTGCATGAGAGTTTACATCTGTAAAATGAAGGTAATGATACTCTCTCCTAAAAACAACAAAAAAAGAAATATGTAATGGAATTTCAGTGTTCCTGACTGGATCGTGAATGACAGCCTCTCACTGCCTTTACTCCATCCACACTGAATACTATTGTTCTTTGAACAGCAAGCTTGTTTTCAGCGTCTCAGAGTCTTGGCAATTACATTTGCCCGAATCTCGCTCTTCAAATTCTTCATATGGCAGGCTCCTCATCAGTCAAGGTCTTGGTTCAACTGTCACCTCTTTGGAAAGGCCTCCACTGACCAGCTGATTTTAGAGTATCTCCTAACCCATCTTCACCCCCTTAATCTGCTTTACTTTTCTCCACCACTTACAACATTTTTAATTATATTATTTCTTTACCTGGTTAAGTATTTAGCATCTGCCCCACCTACAAGTGTGGCTTCACAGGGTCAGAACTACGTGTCTTACTCCCTGCTGCATGTATGCTTAGAAGCTGGCACAAAACAGACCAAGGAATGCCTGCTGAGAATAAAGCCATGAAGGAGAAGGGGGAACAGAGTACTTCAGGCAGGTGAATAATACATGCAAATGCTCAGAAGAAGAAATAAGCATGTGTCTAATAAAGGAGATGGAGAAAAGTTCATGGTAGTGATAATAAAAGAACTGGTGATGAGAAAAACATTTTGACAAATATCGGACACCCTTAAATGCTAGGCTAACAAGTTTGAACTCTAACCTGTCACCACTGAAGATTTACTCACTAGGGGACACGATGAGAAAGGGTGAGGTTATTAAAAAAAAAGAGCAGGGAATAATAATGAAACTAGTATTTAAGAAACACTTGGATAAATAGTATGGAGAATTCACTGGATAGGTAATGAACTTAGGAGGGAAACCAGCTGAGAATCAGAAACCTAGAGGGGAAATCATATGGTCCGGTTGTGTGATAAAGAAAGAACTACTTCTGGGACACCTGGGTAGCTCAGTAGGTTAAGCATCTGTCTTTGGCTCAGGTCATGATCCCAGGGTCCTGGGATCAAGCGCCACCTTGGGCTCCTTGCTCGGCGGGGCGCCTGTTTCTCCCTCTGCCTGCCACTCCCCCTGATTATACACGCCCTCTCTTCCTCTCCCTGACAAATTAATTAATTAATTAATTAATTCTTAAAAAAAAAAAAAAAAAAAAAGAACTACTTCTGAAGAAATTTCAAACAAAGACTCTACACAGTTGGTTCCTGTTTTATGTTGATGTAATAATATTGGAGTTTTGAACCTGGGAGACTGGAAAACTTGGGAGTGGAGCCTAGAATGGGACTGGGAAGTCAAGAGAGAAACAGATTACTTTCTCGATTACATTTCTTCTTGAAAGTTAGAGCACAATCTACTTCCCACAAAGGAATGTTCCTAAGCTCTGGTTTTAATGGGAAGGGCAGAATTCCCTCTCAACTTTAATTTGTAATTTAAACCCTTCCTCTACCTATTTTTCAGAAGATCTAAAGTGCACACGTTTCAGTGAGAAAGTGGAGTGACTGAGGAATAAGGACATGTCTAGTATACAACAACCCAATAGTCAAATGTAAAAATCTTGGGAATAGCTAAAAACAGAGAATGTGTTCTGAAAATGGTTAAGTAATTTTGTGTAAATTGTATAAAACTTATTCCTTTTCCATTGTAAATCTCGTCAGGACTCTTACCTGAGCAGCAGAGGTCTTGGCCACGTGAATGATTTTCTCCATAGAAAGGTAGCTCTGCTGAGAGGGAGCGGGGCCGATGGAATATGCTTCATCTGCCTGTGTAAGGAATATTACATGCCTTGAAAGATCTCACAGCTAGCACACACTCGTACACAATAGAACTGCTTCAGGGTCGTTTGAGCGTTATAAATAAAAAGACTGGCTCCCCAAGAACAATGTAAGAATTAAGAAACAGAAGGACCAGCTCATGCCTGCTATTAAAATAAGACTGTTTTTGGAATCTTTTGCATGAAGAGGCTGCCCAAGCTTGATTTTTGTGTATAAAGCAATCACTAGCGTGAAGCAAAATGTCTTTAGGATAGAAAGCAACAGACATGAATCATAGTCTCATCATTAACAATAATAACCTTAAGTGCATCTAATGCCGAAAGTGTACATTTTGACGAGATAAAATATAAAGGTTGTATTCAGCAAGAAATAAAATTATGAAGTTTATTAAAGTTTGTATAATTATTCAGGTATGATGATAATGCTCTATCTATACATTTGTGAACTACTTTACACTGTCCTTTAAAACTTCCACATAATCATGGCAGCCCTTGAAGCAGACTGGATAGAAAAAACATCCCTCATTCATTTAAAGATTTATTGAACACCTACTACATGCCGTGCTTTGAGGTGGAAGCTACCTACAAGTAAATAAATGTCCCTGCCTGGAGTGAGAGACAGACATCAAACATACATCCACAAGCTTAGTGACAACTGTGATAAAGGCCATGAAAGCAAAACAAAGGACATGATGCAGATGAAGGGGAAGATGGATCAGGCCTGAGGGCACTCAGGGAAAGCCTGGGAGGGAAGATCAGGGGCTCCTCCAGGAGCACTAGGACTTGGCCAGGCAAATGGGTAGAGGATGTGGAGCTGGGAACAGGAATGGAGAAGGGGGCCAGCCTCCCCAACCCAGAAAGCAACATATATGGACATCCTGAGTAGGGAAGAAACTTGGCCCATTTGAGGGACTGACAGAGGCTTGTGTGGCTGGAGCCCAGTGAGCCAGGGGTCCATGTCCAGAGACGGGGCTGGAGAGACCAGGGAGCACAGGTTTCAGGGGACCTCCTGGGAGGCTAAGCTTTGGATCTTCTCCCAAGGGAACACATAATGAAGTTTCCTGGGTATTGTTTGTTTTTAAAACTTAATTCCAGGGGTGCCTGGGTGGCTCAGTGGGTTAAAGTCTCTGCTTTCCGCTCAGGTCATGATCCTAGGGTCCTGGGATCGAGCCCCACATCAGGCTCTCTGCTCAGCAGGGAGCCTGCTTCCTCCTCTCTCTCTGCCTGTTTCTCTGCCTACTTGTGATCTCTATCTGTCAAATAAATAAATAAAATCTTTAAAAAATTAAAAAAAAACCCAAAACTTAATTCCAGGGGCGCCTAGGTGGCTCAGTGGGTTAAGCCTCTGCCTTCGGCTCAGGTCATGATCCTAGGATCCTGGGATTGAGCCCCATATAAGGCTCTCTGCTCAGCGGGGAGCCTGCTTCCCCTCTCTCTCTGCCTGCCTCTCTGCCTACCTGTGATCTCTGTCTGTCAAATAAATAAATAAAATCTTAAAAAAAAATAAAAAATAAAAATAAAACTTAATTCCACAAAAACACAGATCCATTCTTATTCTAAAGAACATGAACCATGATACAAAGGCAAAGGAGCCTTCTGGCACCTCCCCTCCCCCTCACTGCAAACCTCTTCCAGACAGTACTATTATCATCAATTTGGGACACATTCTTCCACATCCATATTCTTATTTATTTGTATATATTTACATAAGCACATACAGTTTTAGTTTTTATTTTTATACAAATAGGATCAAACTTCTGTGTTGCTTTTTTCATTAACAGTATGTCTTGGGAGCTCTCATCTTGCTAGGGCCCATATGTCTACCTCATTTTTTATGACAATCACATAATGTTCCACAGGATGGAGGTCCCACAGTTCAGTTAATTATGTACCTCTGAACAGACACTTAGGTCATAAAGGCAAAAAGCTTGATGCTGGCAGCGTGCCCATATATGCCTTATTTGCACGTATGTACAAGCATGTCTCTAGACTGAGATCTAGAGGAACGTTTGCAGGGCTGGGTGTAAGGGTATGATGTTTTCATAGCTCCTGGCTAATCACCCCTTGAAATGGTATCACCAACATACATTTCCATCAACATACTAATTCTTCAGCACATTATAACCAACAATACTATCCATCTTTTAAATTCGTGCTAATCCAGTAGATGATGAAAATGTTTAAGCCATTTAAAGCAGAGGAGCACCATGAGAAAATCTGCTTTTAGGCTACTGGCCTGGCTGCAGTGTAGAACATACCACGGAAGTGGTCAAGATGCAAGTAGGGAGACCACTTAAGAGGCTGTGGCAAAGGTGCTGGTGGCTCTGACTTAAGCTGCCAGGAGTAGAGGGCAGAAAGAAGTGGAAAGAAGTGTTTGGGAAACAGAACAAACAGCACCAGGTGACTGCCTCGATGGGGAAGGAGAAGGATGTAGAGTGGTGGGAAGACAGAAGATGTCCAAGGACTCCTGGATCTCGGGCACTATGGCTGCTGTGGGCAACAGTGTTACCATCTGCTGGGTTAGGGAAGTCTGCAGGAAAAGCAGCTTCACTACAGAACAAAGTCATGAGTTCAATCTCAGGCACATTAGTTTGGGAGCTGTGACACATCCTCATGGAGATGTCAAGTGGGCAGCTGGATGGACCTGTACCACATTCAAAAGAGAATCTGGGCTAGAAACAGAAACAGAAATTTGAAAGGGCTTAGTAAAGCCCTAGGAGCAGACAAAATGATCTAGAGTGAGATCATTGAGAAAAGAAGCTGGAAGATGCTTAAAAGGGTAAGAGGAGGACTCCAAAGCATAGGAAGACAACTCGCCTTGGACGGGACAACGACAGACGCAGACACAGTGAACAGAGTAAGTGCATTTCTTCTTCCTCTGTGAATCAAGATCATCAGTTGAGAATAGGTGGGTAGAGGGAGAGTCAGAGGCTGGAATGGAGAACAGCAAGCTTGAGCTGGTCACTCCACAGAATGAGAGAGAAAAGTGGCCAGAGAGCCCACGGGCCTGCCATGCAATGCTGAAAGCCCAGGGGTGGCCAGTTGCCACGAATTTCTGTTGCTGCTTGGTCTTGCCACAGGCATAAGGAAGACCAAGGGCTGAATTCATCCAGGGCTGGTTCTGGCTGATGAATAACTGCGAGTAACAAATGGTAACACTCGGGGGAGTAGGATCCTTTCAGTTATAATCTTATAGTTAAGCCTGCACTCAGAAACATTAAGTGACTTGTCGAAGATCCATTGGCCAGTAAGTGGTAGCTACTAAGACTGGAACCTGGATCCTTCTTGCACATCGGGGATCCAGATACATGCCCCTCAAAGTAAGATCTATGGCCACATTATGTGAACTGTCTTTACCAACCCTTGATGAGATAAGACTTTGCTTGTAAGTCAACTACACAACCAAACACATTGTTTAGTTCAACTAGTGTTATGTTTGAAAAATGTTCCCAATAGGGATGATTGAACTTTCCCCCTTATGCCCTGTTAACACAGCAAACATAAACTATTAACATAAAGAAGTACCAACCCAATAAAAAAGCCAATCACTTATAAAATTTGACTTTGTTTTTCACCACATACCATGTCAACATGCATGGAATTCCTGTCGGCGTCACTATACACAGCCACGGACTGTATACCCATTTTTTTGGCTGTTCGTATCACCCTGCAGGCAATTTCTCCTCTGTTTGCAATGAGGAGCTTGGCAATGTTTCGTCCTGTTTAAAACACCATGAAAATCACACACAAATCTTACTGGAGAGCAAAAAATGAGAAAGCAAAATAAACATTCCGTGATATTAACCAGCTGATGAACATCTGTTTTGGTAACATCAACACAGTAGAGCCTCAAATAACCATTTTAACTGATATCAATTGTGTCTTTTTATCCTCTTCACTGAAATTCAAGGTGCCCTCATTAACATCAACTCTTATTTTACTCAGCTTTTTCAGCTTTAAAATGAAAAGATGCTTTGATATGATAAGGTCAAATCAAAATAGCCCCAACCCCCATCATAGTTAATAGTAATTAATCTTTCCTAAGTACCTTTTGTGCCTCAGAACCTTTGCTAAAGACTCAACCTGGACTTAATTGCTCACAATAAGCCTATGGAGTAGATACTATTATTATTGCATCAATTTTAAAGATAAAGAAGTTACAACTCAAAGAGATATTACTTTCCCGGAATAATACAGCTAAAACAAATAGTGGATCCGGGATTTGAACCCAGGTTAGCGTCACTCCAGATTCTGAACTCTCAGTCACTCTGCTCTATGGCCTCTAGCCCCTGTACACAGACAGGGATGCGTGGTTCTCTTGCGATATAAATACAAGTGAGGACCATGCCAGGACATTGGTACCAGTGTCATGATTATGAACATAATGTTATTGTATTAATACATAAAATGCATTTCCATCATCACACATGAAATAAATGTTCCCTGGCAGTTTATGAAAGTTATCTTTCTCAAAAAATACGGTTATAGAACTTAAAACAAGGTCATTCTGTGGGTATCTACAGAGCCTGAGCTGTCACAGGAGCTGCTGGGATGATGTAAGCACGTGTGTGTTGTGGGGAAGAAAGGGCATCCAATCAACCAGGAGTTACACTTATATATGTTTCAGAGGTGGGAATTCCATGTAACGTTTTATTTGGAAAAACATTCTGCTACTTAACAGAGCTGTTGTAAAGCACTGATTTAGACCATCATAGTTATGCCTTTGCAATTCACTGCACTAGAGATGATGAGAGAGGCAGAAATAACAACATACGTTTAAATGTTCTCAATTATTTCTGTATGTATTTCAGACTCAACAACAGAGATCTGACATAAAAAGAGATGGAAACCATGACTCAAAGTATTGAGCTTCTTAGTAAGTAACTAAGAAAATGATTATGAAAATCCCAAACTTCAAAAGTATAGGGAGAACTAATTCTACATACACAAATTAAGGAATTTAACATTTCACAATCTGACGCCAAGCCAAGTAGAGCAGAGACTGTACCTGTGGTCGTTGCGTACTTCATGGTTCTCTGCTTCCAAGTCCATCTCCTAGCAAATGAATCCAAATGGAATTATAATTCAACAGGATACACAGATCAGTTGTTTCAAAAGAATCAAAATTGTTTAAAACTTGAAACCAAGTCCAGATATGATCTTAGTTAAGCCTGAAGCCCACAAAGTGACTTAGTAAGACTTTCTTGTGGGAAGACAACCCCTCTAGAAACCGGAAGTTACAGTCCTGGCTGTTTTCCCTGGCACCGTGTGTCCTTGAATGGATCACCTATCCGGCTCGTTCCAGAGGCTGGCGTATGGCCACAGAGTCACCAACAATTAGAAAGTCAAGGTACTTCAAGAACATCCAGTTCAGCTTTTTCAAACTCTTCTGACTAGAACCCAAAGTAAAAACTATATTTTCACATGACTTCACAAGCTGGTACGCACACCAAAGAGAAGTTTCATGACAGATTTCCCTGTGTTTTGATACTCTTTGTTCTGTTCCAGTTTATTACATAAAATACGCTGGTCAAACTACAGCTTGAAAAATACCGATCTAAGTTAACGCCTAGTAAGACAGGTTTGAACAATTAAGCCCAGAGAAGTAAAGAGAAGGAGCTGATCAAAGGCAGCAGAAAGAATGCTGGTTATGGGGCTGTGAAACCCCCAACTAGCTGCTGGTGATCCCAGGCAAATCTCTTTACATCAGTGTTTCTCCAGCCTTTTTTCATTATGGCCCCCCTAATGCAAAACTATGAATACTAAGATTTTGTAGGAGGGGTTGAGCCTTGGAGGGTATGGTAACTATGGTTATATCTGAGGTTTTTTCCCCTCTCTCAAGACCCAATTTTCACTTTACAACTCAAATTTCAGTGTCCTCACAGAAGAAGACTTCTCAGTTTTCAAAGAATACAATTTAAGCTGAGTCTTTATGTTAATAAGAAATGGAGAACCAGGGAGGCTAAGTGACTTGTTTGAGGTGTTTTTTCTTTTTTTAACATTTTATTTATTTATTTGACACAGAGAGAGAAATCACAAGTAGGCAGAGAGGCAGGCAGAGAGAGGGGGGGAAGCTGGCTCCCTGCTGAGCAGAGAGCCAGATGCGGGTCTCAATCCCAGGACCCTGAGATCATGACCTGAGCCGAAGGCAGAGGCTTAACCCACTGAGCCACCCAGGCGCCCCTGTTTGAGGTTTCTTAATTAGGTAGAAGTTCATTAAGGTCTAAAGCAATTTTTAAGTTCCATGATACCTACTGATACAGTAAGTTACAAAACTTTAACCAAGAGCTGACAGAAAGCAGGCCATAATCTCTTTGGGAACAAAAGAGTATAATGCCTATCAGTTGTCAGCTAAAAGAAATACACTGGGAAAACAACAAATTGCAGAAGGAATTCCACCTGTCTTTTCCATCCAGATCTGGATGATGTGACAAAACTATAGCTATAAACAACTAACCATTTTAGATCATTTACAAAGCAGGTGATAAAAAGCATAATGTATGTTAGATACTATTCAATTATGTATGTGTAGCATGTATATGCTGTGTCTATAACTAGGTACCTGAACAGAACTAGCATTCCACTGGGGCAGAGGTGCAGGAGACGGGATTGTTACAGTGGGTTTGGCAGTCATTGGCCTCTGATGGACACTCAATCAGCTACTGACATCCATCCAGGGCTGGTGGGAAGACCCACAGCTATGGCACTTGAGTTCCACAAGAAGGCTTCCTCAGGAGGCTCTTGCTTTCCCCCATCTTCCCAATTCCACTAACCTCACTCTCTGGATCTTTAAGGAGAAATATCGTTTTTCCTTATCTTTAAAAGGCACCTTCTAGTTCACAGCATCTTCCCATCACATTCTTCAGATAGGTTTTTTTTTTTCAACTAAGATTCAAGGCCTGTATTGCACAGTTGTATCTATAAAATGCTTCTTGATAAATCCAGCTTAAGACTCTGATCAAGGCCACTGCTGAATTAAAGTGTTCTTCTGCTATTCTAGTCAAGACAATCACATACACACACACCATTTAACATAATCCTCTATCCTATTGATGTTTTGATCGATCTATTCCATTTCTCACCATTATCTAAGCTCAACTTAAAACAATGGCTTACAAAACAAAATTAAGAAGTTCCTTCCATGAGATAATTCCATCTTACTTGAAGATAACTTCTAAATCAGTTTATTCTCATTTCTAAAATTCCACCACCAGACTTCTTTTCTCTGAGTTACTAGAAAATCATGACCTACAAGACATGTAACGACTCTCTATAATGACAAGATTTGTAATTACTTTACCCATTAAGAACACTAACATTTTCCAAGAAAACAGTTCTATACACACTAGGGAAAAGGGAAGAGAGAGAAAATGGGTCTGTATAATATCCTGAAGAGCCCTGGAAACCTAAGAAAAGAAAAATGAGGAGAAAGAGGAAAGCACTGCTTTCACCACCTGTCTTACTTTACTCTGGGGCTAGTCCCACAATTAAGCAACTGAAATCTAAATACCTCTACCTTAACTTGCGGAAAATAAAAGTGAGCAAAAAACTTGACCCAAATGGGGGTCTGCAAAGGCTGCATTTATGGATTCATCTGTACCATACTGTTTGAATCCCTTCCATGCATTAATTCATTTAATTCACACAATCCTAGCTACCAATATTATCTCCTTTAGGAAGAGTATCATCACCTCCTCCTAGGTAAGTAAACTGACGCACGGAGACATTAAGTAACTTGCCCAAAGTTGCTCACAGGCTACTGAGCAGCAAAGTTGAGATTCCCTGGCTTCTGACTGCAGTCTGAGCGCCCTTCAGCACCAAGCAACGCCGTCTTTCCAGAATGGAGAAGGAGGTGAGGAGGAAGAGGCAAAGCAAGATAGAGAAGCCTGGTAGTTGGGAACCCGAGGGTGTCTTCACTAGCAAATTTATTGTCATTGAAGCTTACAGCTCATAATTTGACACTGATCTGGAGTCACGTTAGTTAACTTGCCTCCAAGACCTTTTGACAAAACAGCCTCTCGGCCCTCTGGAAGATAAATTTGCTTTTGTTAACTTGACCCATTCCAACAATAAGAACTCCAGGTCTCTGAACCGGACACCTGACCCGGGATAGCTGAACCCAAAAGCGCTTGAGGGGGTCCTGGCTCCATTTCTTTCCACTTGTGTAAACTCGGGCAAGTCGCTGAGCCCTCTGGGGCTCACCCGCACGGGGATTACCAACACACCCACACGGCGAACGCAGAGAAAGCGCCGCGTTAACCGCAGCAGCTGTGCTGTGCCGCGTCGCTCTCGCTGCAGTAGTGAGCGGAGCGTGGATGTGGCAGACCCAGCTCCACCCCTCCCCCACGCCTCAAAAATGGACAGAGGCAGACGGCTGCGGGGTGGATATGGGGAAAGGGAGGAACAGGAAGGGCCGGGGGTGAAGACGTCTCCCTCCCGATGCTAAGACTGAAAGCACAACACCCCGAAAGGGGCTCAGGTTGTCCCTCCGTCTCCACCCTCGGCCCCCGCGCGCCTCTCGCAGCGTGCAGGAGTTCATTAACCACCACGCCTGCCCCGGGCCCCAGACACAGACGCATCGCCCCTCCACCTCACGTTACCTGGACGGCAGCAGCAGGCCCGGGACTCGCAGCCACCGGTTCCTCTCCGCCGCTACTAGCAGCACCGACACCGCAGAGGCTGCGGCCATGTCCCCACAGCCCAGTCCTCCTCCGACTCTTTGGTATACTGGCTGCTTCGCACTCGCCGCAAAATCTTTCCCCCGGCTCCGCAAGCCTATTGTCCTCTACGAGCCACCGTCCAGGTCTGAGTCAGGCTCTAGGCCTCTCTAGCATGGAGGGGGCGTCTCCATTAAAACCAATCAAAGAGCAGAGCATGGCATCGGGGGCGACGATTGGCTAATCGGCCACGAACCCGCGGGGGTGTGGTCCCTGCCTCCTAGGGCCGCTTTGCGTGTAGCGCCTACCGGACGCGAGGTCCGCCCCTCACCTTCCTTGGCACCCCTGGGTCCTGGGTTGCTATTTCTTCTATTGGGCCGCTGGGTTCCTTCGTTTTCTTCGCGCTTTACGGAGAGCCCGCCTCTTGACCTTCTTCAACGCCGGGAGAAAGTGGTGGATGCGGAGTCCTGGGGGAAAAGTCAAATGGAAAGAAGAGCAAAACACGTAATTTTTCTAGTGTTCTCGAGAAAGGGGGAAAAAAAAACCCTGAAGTAAATAACTAAAATAAATTTTTAAAAAGTTAAAATTACCCGAGTTTTTAAAAAAGTGTTTTAGTTCAGAGGCGCCTAGGTGGCTCAGTGGGTTAAGCCTCTGACTCTGGATTTTGGCTCAGGTGCAGAGATGGAGTCCAGGGTGGGGCTCTTTCCTCAGCCCGAAGTTTGCTTGAAATTCTTTCTCTTCCTTTCCCCCCACCCCTCCTGTCGTTCAGGAGCTCTCTCTCTCTAAAATAATAATAGTAAATAAAAATAAGGAAGTGTTTTAGTGCACTATTGGGAAATAGAGGAAGTCAAAACCCAAATTGCAGAATATCTAGAAAATAAAAACACTACATACAAATGCTTATTTGAACATAGTTAAAGCAGGGCTTGTAAGCAAATTCATAGTGGAAATAAAATAATCAATTCAAGGGTTAAAAAAACACAAAAATAAACACAAGGAAAGCGAATAAAGAAATTAGCAACAAAAAAGAAGAAATTAATGAATTGAGGAAACATATTAAAGAATAAATCCAGAGGTTTAGAAAAGAAATTAATAATGTAGTTAACTGATTTAATAAAAGTAAATGGAGAAAAATGCATAGTTGCCATGATTAAAAAAAATAAGTGGGAAAAAGTCACAGATACAGACAACAAATTATAGATTTGCTGGAGACTAATTTTGTTCAACTTTAAGCAAATAAATCTGAAAACTTGGATGATGTTACAAGAAATGATTCAGTATTCATATAATTGATTAATTAATCTTATTAATAGTTTAAAAAATCTTATGTTCATAGATGCTTAACAGGTCATTAGTAAAATTCAACATACATTCTAGATTTTAAGACTCAATAATTCAAGAAGTGCTATTGATACAAGTGGCTAGCTCTTTGAGGAATAAAGTTGAATCCTTACTTCTCATACCTAAAATCAAAATAAATTCTAAAAGAATAAGAGATTAATATAAAAGATGGAAGCATAAAAGAGGCTAGAAAACACTATGGGAGATCTTAAAAGAGGGAAGGTTTTTCTAAGTGGAACACAATACTCAAACTATAAATGAAAATTAATCAAATTCAGTTTTTTTAAATCTGCACAGCAAAACATACATAGGAAAAAACAAAGAGTAAACTGGGAATAATTTATAACTCATCACAAAAAAGCACTACTTTCCTTAATAAATAAATATCTCCTACAAATCAATAAGAAAAAAAGAACTGTAATGCAAGAGAAAATTGGGGACTGGTTTCAGATTGCTCCTGGGAAGCTTCCAGGAGGGTTATAAACCAACAGGTTGATATGTAAAATATATAAAGAATTCATACAACTCAATAGCAAAAAATAGGGTTTCCTGGGTGGCTCAGTCAGTTAAGTGTTTGCTGTCGGCTCAGGTCATAATCTCAGAGTCCTGGGATCAAGTTCCACATGGAGCTTCATGCTCAGCCGGGAGCCTGCTTCTCCCTCTACCTGCTGTTCTCCTTGCTTGTGTTCTCTATCTCTCCTTCTCTCTGACAAATAAATGAAATATTTAAAAAATAAAATAAAATGAAGTGATGCATGCTGTTCACTAATTGTAAAAAAAATTAGCAAAAAACAAATAACCCACCTTAAAATGATCAAAGGACCAGAATAGACATTTTTCCAGAGAAGACATACAAATAGCAAACAGCTATGTGAAAAGGTGGTCAGTATCATTAATCATCAGGGAAATATAAACCAAAACCACGATGAGATGTCACTTCACACCACTTGGGTTGGCTATCGTCAAAAAGACAAAAGATAACAAATGTTGGTGGGGATGTAGACAGAAGGGAGCACTTGCCACTGTTGGTGGAGATGTAAAATGGATAGCCATTATGGAAAACAGTATGGAGGTGCCTTAGAAAATTCAAAATAGAACTACCATATGAGCCAGCAATCCCACTTCTGAGTATATATCCAAAAGAAAGGAAATCAGTACCTTGTAAAGATATCTCCACTTTCACCTTCATTGCAGCATTATTCACAATAGCCAAGTTGTGGAAACCACATAGGTGTCCATTGACTGGATGAACCAAGAAGATGCAGTATAAATGTACACAATGGAACAATATTCAGCTATGAGAAAGAAATCCTGCCATGTGGGACAACATGGATGAACCTGGAAAGACATTATGTCGAGTAAACTTAGCCAGATAGAGAAAGACAAACACCATTTTGGAAAAAACCTTTCAGCAGTTTCTCATAAATTTAAACATTTAACTACCTGAAGGCCTGGCAAGTTTTCTGTAAAAGGGAAGATAATAAATATTTTAAGTTTTGTGGACCGGTTTCTGTTAAAACTATTCAACTCTGCTGTTGTAAAGCAGCTGTAGACAATACATAAACACATGGGCATGGCTGTACTCCACAAAACTTTATTTACCAAAGCGGGTGGCCAAACCATGAACTGTAGTTTACTGACCTCTGTCCTATTACCATTTTAAGATTGACTTCATTACTTAGTGGATTTGACAGAAGTCAGCTCAACCTGGGCAATTCTGGGTATGTGGTAACAGTGTCTTAAAGTCAAGTGTTCCAGGACCCAGTAACATGCCACAAGCTGCATGTTAAAGGGCATCTATTTTTCTGCAGCAAATGGCATGGCCTCCAGAGTACTCAGGACCTGTGTTATGATTCTTCCACTGGAGTTTGCCAAAAATTCCATACTGTATGTTTCCCCAGCACTGATACCTCCAACATGAGGTTTGCCTGATTGTACACTCAAGCAGCAGAGCTGATTGCATTAAAGCCTAGAGTTGTTGTCCTGCCCTCTCCTGCTCTGGCCCCACTAAAAACTGATGGCTTTCTATGTCACCTGGTAAATGGGCCAGAGGAATTTTCCTAGCTGTGTAAAGTTGTCTCCAGACCCTCTAGGTCTCTAGACTCTAGACCCCCCCCCTCCCCTCTCCCCCCCCCCCCCCCCCCTCCCCCCCCCCCCCCCTTCTCCTTTCCCCTCCTCCTCCCCCTCCTTCCCCTCCTCCTCCTCCTCCTCTTCTTTTTAAGATTTTTATTTATCTATTTCACAGAGATCACAAGTAGGCAGAGAGGCAGGCAGAGAGAGAGGAGGAAGCAGGCTTCCTGCTGAGCAGAAAGCCCGATGCGGGACTTGATCTGAGGACCCTGAGATCATGACCTGAGCCGAAGGCAGAGGCTTAACCCACTAAGCCACCCAGGTGCCCTATGGTTTCTTCTTCATGGAAAGGATGCAAGATGCAAAATATTTGTGTTTTATTTTGGGGGGGATATCTGGCATGCCTCTGACCCCCTGAGTCCCTAAAAACTTCAATGAATTAGTTAGTCCCTACCTAAATCTTCATCGGGTTTGTCTCCTATTTCCTGTAATACACATGTCTTCCCCGGGCCTCCAACATAAGAATGGCTCTGTGCTTGTCCTGTCAAATTAGCATAATGTCATCAAAGTAATTGTTCGGTGTGATGTCTTGTGGGATATCTGTGTGGTCCAGATCTCTTTGGATTATATTATGACGAAGAGTTAACAAATTCTTGAGGCAAAGCCATCAATTAACATTGTAGACCAATGAGCCAACAACCAGGCCTGGTGAACAGGCAAGTCTGCCTGAACAGCTGCTGGTCAATAGACTGTTAGCACCAGAGGTTGAGGAGCTGCTCTCCTGGGCAGGTGCTCTACTTGGGGCAGAGTTGGCAGCAGGCTGGTTAGGGTCCTACCATCATTATCCTTTGTATAGTTTCCTATTAAGCCACTTTTCTTTGTGTACATACTGGAATTTATTTACCTGAAATGCCCCCAAAAAGTAAACCAGTAATTCAACCTTGACAGTGGACCTGGAGTAGCCAGCATCCAAGATGGCCCCCACTGATTTCCACCTCTCCTGGTCTTCACTCCATAACATACCAGAAATGGTTGGTGTGAATTCAACACAAGTGAATGGTATGTAAATTTTGTGAATAGGTGGTCAGTCTCTCTCTCTTGAACCACTCACCTGGGGAAAGTCAGCTGTCATGTTGTGAGCATTCCTGTAGATATGCCACATGATGGGAACTCGGAAGCAGAGCCTTCAGCCCCAGTTGAACTTTCAGATGACAGCTTAACCGTAAGAGAACTGTGAGAGAACTGAACCAGAACCACCCAGCTAAGCTGCTCCAGGATTTCTGACCCTCAGAACCTGTGTGAGATAATAAATGTGTGTTCTTTTAGTCTGCTAAGTTTTGGGTTACCTTGTTCCATAACTATATAGGACTAATACAGCTAATACAGGACTTCTTATTTATCTCAGCCCCTACCAGAGTGTCTGGCATTTAGTAAGGCCTTAATTGATGTTGGTTGAATGAATGAATAAATGAATGGATAAACGGTGGCAGCAGTCAAGTATACCAGTAATCTAGTCAGTTAGTCTGGTCTAAAAGTTGAGAGATTTAATTTATAATTTTAATGTGGTTTTCTTCTCAAAAATTCAGATTCTCTCATTAGGTCTTCCTAGTTAGTAGTAAAGTGGCGGTAGAGAATAGTCTATAAAATAAGTCATAAAAAGATGATGTACTGTATTGATTCAAGCAAGAACCTCTACTATGATAGTAAACAAA